ATTGAATCCTTCCTTTCCAATCGTAGTATAAAAGTTGTCCTTGATGGACAGCTTCTTTTTCTTATTCTGTAACCTCAGGGGTTCCTCAAGGTTCAATCCTTGGCTCTATACTCTTTTTAACTTGCATTAACGATCTTCCAGATTTTCTCACATTTAAGGTGGCATTGTTCGCTGATGATACTACCATTTATTCTTGTCATAATAAGAAGCCAACTCCCTCTGATTGCTTGCAGGGGGCATCTGAGCTTGAAAAGGATCTTACTTCTACTACAGCATGGGGCTCACAGTGGCTGGTGAACTTTAATTCAGATAAAATTCAATTTATTTCAGCCAATCGTTATCGGAATAATTTAGACCTTTCTATATTTATGAACGGTAATGTACTTGATGAGTCATCTACCCTTCATCTACTAGGATTAACTCTTACTTCTGATCTTTCTTGGAAACCTTATATCAAATCCGTTGCAAAATTAGCATCTGCTAAAGTTGCTTCTCTTTATCGAGCTCGACACTTTCTTACTCTGGATTCTATTCTCTATCTCTATAAATCTTAAATCGGGCCTCGTATGGAATACTGTTGCCATATCTGGGGTGGATCTTGTAATGATGCCCTTTTTCTCTTTTAGACAAGGTGCAAAAACGCATTGTAAACATTGTTGGACCTGCTCTTGCAGCCAACCTTCAACCTCTGTCACATCGTTGTAATGTTGCTTCTCTTTCTCTTTTCTACAAATACTATAATGGGCACTGCTCTAAAGAGCTAGCGTCTCTTGTGCCATCTACTAAAATTCATTCTCGTGTTACTCGTCATTCAATCAAGTCTCATATTTTTTCTGTTACTGTTTTTAAGTGCTCCAAAAACTCTTATTCGTCTAGTTTTTTTCCTCGAATATCAGTTCTTTGGAATTCGCTTCCTTCATCTTGCTTTCCTGATTCAAATAATTTACAATCTTTTAAGTCGTCTGTCAACCGTTATCTTGCTCTACAATCTTCATCTTTTCTCTTCCAGTAATTTCCAACACTAATTAGTGGTTGCTTGCAGCCTTGTGGAAAGCGATGATGTTTAAATATATATATATATATATATATATATATATATATATATATATATATATATATATATATATATTATATATATATATATATATATATATATATATATATATATATATATATATATATATATTGAGAATCTTTTTTTTAAAACAATACTTATATGCCTCAGATTGTACAAGAAGCTAAAAAATACCTATGAAACATAATTGCCCAGAAAACTTTTTCTAAGGATCAGGATAGACTATATAAGATTGTGTGAATTAGGTTCTTTTTATCTGGGTAACAAAGTACCAAACTTCTTCCTTCATCAACCCTCTGCTTGTCATGAGGTTAGATATGGCAAATGTTATATATTTATTGATGCTTCAACTAACTCGTAATAAACTGAAACTCATTTCAATGTCGGAGAGATAAGATTTTAACAAAATTGATATCAATGGAAGAGAGAGGTGTCAACTTTTTTGAGAGATGTCAACAAAATTGCATCTATTGTAACAATAGATATTGCTTTCTGAAGTCATCTGTTACATTCCAGGCACTGTTTAATGATCTCAAAGCTATTAAAGTAGCTAAAAACAATGAGGTAAAACATAAAAGATAAAGTTTTAGGCTAAAATTCTCTTCTTAGACATACTTGTTATTTGGCTGAAGATGTTGTTATTGAAACACTTGCAAATCCAGGTGTAATCAATGAAGTGAAATTCTTTATGATTCAAGATATTCTTATGAATTACTGGCAGAGAATTTGTAGATCCCAACTTCAAGTTTTTTAAATATTTTGTTTCAAACATTTAGTACATAAATGGCTGCTCTTAAAGAAATATTTGTTCATTTCAAGATTTCCTGGCAGTTATTCATATTAAAAATCAGAGAGAAAACTTGATGGTTGCTAAATTGAATAGAAAATATGTGATCAAAGGAATGAAATAAAGTAATTTGAACAGCATAACTCATCAGCAAAAAATGTTTCAAATAAAATGTAAATTTTTTTTAAAGTTTAAAATAAGCAAAAAATATTTTCAAGCAAAAAAAACTATTTTTTCTTTAGATTATGTTTTATTGTTTAAAAGTTAGGCATTTGGAAGAACTATACATGTGGTTTTTAGAATGCTGTTCAGGTTACTTATTGGTTGCAGTCAACTATTTATTACTTTTTACAGTTGTAATTTATTGTTACCAATTAGAGCCAAAATCAGTTGTAATCTGGCAATAAAATCAAAGAGTGCAACTATTTACTAATGTAACCTTAAGCCTTGATTACATAAAAGAAGTTATATTATGGAGTAATGTTACCAATTAGAGCCAAAATCAGTTGTAATAATATCTGACAATAAAACAAAGAATATTACGACTACTTTTTTAAGTGAAATATATTCTATTGCATTGATTATATAAAAGAAGTTATATTATGGAGTAATGGTCCTTGCACTCAGTTCAAAAATAGATATACATATACAAAGTATAGAGTGGATTTTTTTTTGCTACCTTTTACAGTAAAGGAGTAGTTAGTGGTGTAGGAGGATTGTTGAATCTCATAAAGTTATTGTCTTTAATTAAAATTAAAATTTAATTTAATTAAAATTAAAGGCATAAACTATTAAAAATTTAGTAAAGTAATAAAGAATAAATAAATATAGCAACCAGCCTTTGGCTGCTGATTCCAAATAAAAAAACAACCCATTATCAAAAAATCATAATTGAGAACTTTGATAAATTTATGAAGTGCATTTTTTTTTAACATAGTTTACATAGTTTTTTTCATTATTTATGTTGTTTTTTTTTTAAGTCATTATTTGCATCATGTTATTTGTTGTTTTTTAATATCCGATTTTTTGTTACAACCATCACCTGACCCTTACAACCATTAACCATCATCTGACTCCCACAGATATATTAAAGTAGTTGTATAACATTTAAAAATGTTGGTATAAACAAATTTAACAGGAATATTTGTCTGTGTAGGATCCACTTAAAGATGTTTGTATATGAGACATTATATTAATTAATTTTTCTTTTGTTTGAAATATAAAATACTTTTTCCAGGTTGAGCATAGTTTTAAATGGTTTTACCGCTTCATTATTTGTTGTAAGTCGAGTTCATATCACAGTAATCAGTATCTATTAATACATTGGAAATGGTTTACAGAAGAATTTATTTCTGTGGCTGAGATTACATGGTAAATTTATGTTAAGATTAAAAACAAGTTTTTTTTGATAAGATTGACCAAGTAATTTTGATTTTAATTGAGATTATTATAAAGTTTATTTATATATATTTTTTTCATTTTTGTAAATTAAAATTTTTTTGTTTTTGCAGGTGCTTACCTGATGATTTGCAATTATGCTTACAGCGTTTAAATGAAATTTTTCAACATAAATGTAACAGAATTTTACAGTCAATTCAAACAATGGTTGGGCAACCGGCAGCATTTGCTTATTTTGAACAGGAAATGTTAATGGTGACAATTTTTTTATTCTTTCTTATTTATTTTTTTAAAATTAAAAGATCTTAGTTAAATAATTTTCACAAAATATTATTTATTATCTGTTTACCACATACCACATGCTAATATATACTTCATGCGGTTGTGTAGAACATACTAGTCTATACCAGGGTTAAAACAGTGCTAAGAGTCAAAAAGTTATGGGATAGGGTCAAATAGTTTGATTAAATACAAACTTTTTTTATTAAAGTTTAATGCCCAATTTTCCACACTTGTACAGTTAAGAGAGGTTTCAATAATATTTTCATAAATATTATGAGAGTATTTAAGCAATTTTAAATGTTAGTATATTGAAATACATATAAATATTTGACCTCAATCCTAATTTATACTTAATATATAATGTTTGCTACTGTATACTGCATACTAATATTTATCACAAGTCACTATTCATCAAATGCCATTGTATCTTTTAATAACATCTTAGTTTATACCACATCCCATAGTATTCAACATTATACCACATGTGCTGGATATAACATATCAACATATACTACATTTCACTGTATACCACATACCAGTTTATACTATTTCACTGTATACCAAAGTATGCAAAAATAGTTTTAAATACTTGCTTTTCATTGTATTGCCAATTGTTGAACAAAGTTCTTCATATTGTTTGTTTTGCACTTAGAATTATGTTGTCTGATACTTAAAATTCAAACTCAATAATAACCTTTGATTTAGATATAAGTGTTTGTACGGTTTTTTTTTAGAATAAAATCAAAGAAGTATCTGAAAAGATACGTTTTTTGCCAAGAAATGAAACTTCATATACTTACAACAAAAAAACACTTAAATTGTTTAGCAAAATATGGCAAAGCAAATTCTATTGTCAAGAAATACAGAGTGAAAGTAATAATATTTTTATCTTATTGGTTTTGTTTTGACGTTGTAATAATTTTTATTATAATTATTTTAGTTTTTTTTTTTTTTTTTTACATTTAGTTGAACAATTGCACAATGACGTCTTGAAGCTTGAGAATGATTTAACTTGGAATATTTATTTACATGAATTTTGTAAAGCTTTGTTTACATCAAATACTTTTAAAATGTTAAAAAATAATGAATTAAAAAATAGACTAACTGATCGTCATATAAATTTAACTGATAACTCAGTATGTTATGCCAATGCCAGAAATATTAGTTTCTTAGAGAATGAAGGTTTTATGAAGTTAAAGGTGCAATTTTATAATTTTATTTTTCAAAAAAAACAAATTTTTTTTGCGAGGCATACATTTTAAAAACAAAATTTAATTTTAGAGTTTTGAACCACATTTAACATTTGCTGTTTTTGAAGAGTTTCTGAAAGGTTCAAGCCTTCATGATAATGTATAAATTTTATATATTTTATAATACTTGTGTGTTCTACAAATATAGTGCTTAATGTTCTTAAAGAACAGAGCAATAGTGTATATATATATTTGTATGTTAATATATATTTTTAAATATGTTTATATATTTTGAATTTTTTTTTTTTTAATTCTTTTATTTAATCAAATTTTCACTGCAAACAAAAAAAAATATTTTTTAGAGTTTGCAAAAAGTTGCTAGTTCTTGTTCTTCTTTGTTTTCTTTTCTTGACAATCATGTTGACAAAAGAAATCCTCTTCGACCTCTTTTATGTATAAGACTTCAAGAATTTGATGGCATAAAAAAGAAGATATCTGATATTTGTTCAATACTTTGGGCCAATTCAAGTATTTTGATGAAACAATATGAAATATTTATGTAAGTTAATTGCACTATAAACAAAATGATGACAAGTATTGCCAATATATATATAGTGGCCAAAATTAGGGTGGTTTTAGTAAAGAATGACAGGTTCATACTGTGTCACTGTCTAGGTTGTAGTAATGTGCATTAACTTTAAACTTTTTTTTTTTAGTGATGATTTGGTGCAAATATCAATAAGAGACATTATTACACTTTTTAATGACATAAAGGCTTCTTTAACCAGCAATAGCGAAATCAAATCTTTCTCTATTAATATAAATGAGCTGATGGCTATTGGAGTTGATATCCAAAAAACCATTTCCAATCATCACTCTGATAATCTTGTTGGAATGAATATTATATTAGAAGCATTAATATACTTTCTTGTTCAAATTTCTAACAGTAATTATTTCACTTATTTATTTTAGTGTGCTTTAAATTTACAATAAAATTAAACTTTTTTTATTACTAAAAATTAAACACAAGTTGTATAAGAGATGAAAGAATAATTGAAAAAGATTAAAAATTAATTGAATCATTTATTTCATAAACTTGTCGCATTGGTTTGATAATGTTCTAACTGATTTTTTTTCACATTAGGAGAATAGCAAATAAATCACTTTTTCTTTTTTTTTTATTGTCTAAATAAAAATACTTATATGATTGTTTTTTGTTTATTTATGTATTTTTATACATCAATTAAAAAAAGAGTACATAAACAAATAAAATAACAGTAGTATAAATAATTTTAATTAAACATTAATTAAAATTATTTATACTATTAATAAATATAATTAAAAGTTAAAAGATTTTTTCTAAATTCTAATATAAAAAATTTAAGTTAGAACCTTGTCAAACCAACGCGATGAACTGTCAAATTATATTTTTTTAAGAAATTTTAAAAAAGCATATTTGACAGGTTTCTAAAATAAACTATTCAATTATATATTAAAAAATCAAATCATATCAATATAAAACTTTTTAAAAGTTTTTGAAACTTTTATTTTGATTTTTATTGCAGATGAATTTCAACATGAAATTGTAGCTGGTACTTTATCTTGTTATTCTGGTTTATTGATGTTATATTGTCTAAGACCAATTAATAAATATGATATTGTTGAAGAAAAAAAATTAAAGTTGTACTATCTTTATGAAGAGGTAATTAAAATTTTTGTGTATTAAAAAGTTTTAAAATCTATTCTTTTTTAAAGTTTTTTTTTTTAAATTTTGAAACTTTCTTTATTAATTTTCATAAAGATTAGTTGATTTGAGATTTAAGATTAAATCTTAAATCTCTACTGAGCTTTAACAATAGAGTTTTCGATATAAATCTAACAGTAGTTATATTTAGATGTTAAACTCTATGTTATACCTAATATTTTATAATTATAATTTATTTTAACAACTAATTGTTAAATATATTTTTAAAACATATTTTTGAAAGCCTTTCACTAGAAGAGTTAAAAATTTATTCAAGAGTTATTATTAAATTTGATCTTAATATAGACCATATAAGATATATTCCTATCGGAATATATCTTTATATATTCCAATAGGAATACAATGTAAAGTTTATGTAAAGGATTTTTTTTTTATTGGATTTAGAAATAATAATTCCAATAGGAATTTACTTTATGTAAAAGTATATAAAAGTTACATTTGTTTATTTAAGAGTATAGTTTTTACAATAGTTTATATAAAAGTATATTATTTGAATTTCATATATAAACAATAGTGGTTTAAAAAGTTCATTAATAGATAAAGTGATTGTTTTTCATTTCTTAAGAGTTTTTTTAAAATGTTTTATTTAGCTGAAAGAAGTAAACAATGAGCTGGAAGTGCGTTTTAATGCTGAATATATATGGAGTGGATTTTCTCCTGTGAAATTTGAAAATCTAAGTAATGATAATTTAGAACACTTGACTTCAAATCCTGAACGTGTGAGATGCTTACTTGTTTTGAGAAAACTACTGATAACTGAAATAGAGAATACTACCTGTGAGTTACCTATAAGACCAGAGTCTTCTGAGGTATTTTGAATTTTTATGTTAAAAAAAAATAGAAAAACAAAGAGTGAAAAGTGCTGTATTTTGTAAGTTAAAGTAAAATAAACTTTTGTTTGTTTGCTTGTTTGTTTTTTGAATTAAAAAATTTTTTTGTTACATTTTGTTATTGAGTTAAAATATAATCTTTTTAGTTTCATATCAGGTGAAAATTACTGTATAACAATTTTTTAGATTGTTTAATAGCATTGAGATAATTACCTAAATTCTGTCAAATTGTTAAATACAAGCATATAAACTTCTTTTAATATTAATGTTATGATAAAATAATTTCATTATGTTGAATTTTAAGGTTAATATATAAATGTTTCCTCGATAATTATTTTTTGTACCATAATTTTATTTTTGTAGTTTCTATAGCCAATCTTTATAGCTTTCATTTTTTCTAGTTTATTTTAATAAGTTTCAAGGCTTTCAATCTTAATGTTCATGGTGCATAATTTGTTTTTTAATACTTGTGAATGATTTTATTTTTATGATGCATACTAATAACTGTGTTGTTTAATCAAGGTGTATAGTTCAAAAGTGTGTCACATCACACTTTGCTTTATGTTTGCTTTGGATAATATTTTCCTAACGCTTTGATTTTTTTTATTTTTTTATGAAAGTTTACACCCTTTACTTAGTTTTGATCCTTTATGTATTTTTCATATGAGAAGAGCGGGGTTAAAAAAAATTATACTTAAAACTGTTTATTAGAACTTTTAAAAGTGAAAAAAGCTTAAAAAATTTTTTTTGTGTGTGAGCTAATTTACAGATTCAAAAAATGCAACATTACAAAAATGTAAAATTTTATTTTATAAGGTCGCAATGTAACAATAAGATATTTAATCATAACAATAAAATGATACATATTAAAAGAAGTTTATACGCTTGTGTTTGCAAGCCCAATTTGACATAAATCAGGTAATTATCTCAATGTAATTTAACAACCCAAAAAATTGTTATACAGTCACTTTAATATTAAGTATATATAAGAAAAAAAGGTTAAATACAATTTGAAACATAGTATAGAAAAAATAGTTTAAAAAAATGTAAATGCTAAGACAATTATTTTAAAAATAAACTTTGTTTTATAGTATCAACAGATCTATGAAGAATTTGATCATTTTGTTGCTACAATTTGCAGCGAACGCAATATTATTGAACTTGTTCAACAAACGCAATCATATTTTTCATGTAAAAAAAAACCTAATGCAACGTTTATTAAAGAAATCTCAACAGCTCTTCAAAAACTTCAAATGTGGAATAATTCCTCAACTCATTTTATTATAAAAATGAAAACACAATTTCCATTTTATAAAGATGTTACAACTTTACCTTTGATAGCTATCCAAAAATGTCAAACTGGATTTACTTTACTTGGAGATAAATTAAAATCGTTACTGTCAGAAATACATTATATTCACACTCGTCCTGACACCAATATGTTGCTTCCCTGGGATATTTTATATAAAATATTTAATTTATGGCAAAGCAGCTCTTTAGAGAATGCAAGATTTTTATGTAGCGAAGAGCTACATATTTTTCTAACAAATAATCAAGATATACCTGGTATAGATCATATAAAATTATTTACACTTCATACAGCTTTAATAAAGATCAAAGATTACAGATTATCTAATAAAATGAAACATAAAGACTCTCTATCAGCAAACATATTGCAAAACCTTCTTGATAAACTTTTTGATCTCTGGTCAATTGAGCAATACCAATTAAAGCAAAAACAAAATGACAGAGAATCTCTATTTCGGTACAAATCTCAATCACATTGTGAAAACAAGACTGAAGATGAAGAAAATCAAGAATTACAAGACCAGCTTTTTCCCACTTATGAAAGTGAGTTCCTTGTTATGAATAACGATGTAACACTAGAAAACAAAATTGATCAAGTAGTGTTAAACAAGAAACAAACCATTGATGCAACAGTTAACCAAAAGTTAGTTTATAATGCAGTAAAAGTAATTTATTTAAATATAAAAGAGAATCAGTCTCAGTCAGAACTTTTTTCATTGTCTCAAGTATTATCTCTTTTAAAGATGGAACATGTTTTTTCAAGTACAGTATTTTTTTTTTTCAGATAAAAACAGTTTGTTAAAAACATAAATTGGTAGCAACATGTTTATTTGTTAATTTTTTTTTTTTAGATGTCAAGTTTGATAATTGTATGACTTCATTATATTTAACTTTTTCTGAAATCATGCAACAACTCAGTGCGGAAGAGCAAATTCACTGTGAGAAATTTAATATTTACACTGACTACTGTATTTGCGAATCTGTAATTTGCCAAAATATTTTAAAAGAGTTTCTTATTCATATAAAGAAGTTGCTTAACGAGTTTGAGAATCATCCTGCTCTTAAACAGGTTAAAAAATAAACTATGGTTTTCTAATGTACAGTAGAATTAGTAAATAGTTTTTAAAATATTCAAATAAAGTATTATTTTTCGGCAGCAGGGTTAATGAATATATATCTTATTTAATAATATTTTCAGAAAATATACTTATTATAAAATAAACTAAGATCTAAATGAAGTTTTTTGCATTTTTTTAAGCTAAAAAGAAAAATGTATTATATATTATTGTATAAACAAGTGAAAAAAAGACTAGAAAAACATACTTTAAAATGGTACTTTATTTATAAAAAATAAATAAAATATTTTCATTCTCTAATCTCTAAGAATGACCATATTGATTAAGTATCGTTTACATAATTTAAGAATATTATTAGTAACTTTCGTATTTTAAAAGAATGACATGCTAAATTTTATAAGGAGTTCAGGAAATATTTTTGTTAGTATCTTTATTTGATTTTTTTATTGAAAACCATAATAGATATTTAAAATTGCCTGGGGGCATTGCTTTTTACACTGGTTATTAAACTTGGGCTTTACTGCTGATTAACTTTAGATGTGTTGCTAGGCAGAGATAAATCTTTGGTAAATATCATATTTAATAGCAACCATCATTGTTTTTAACACCAGTAAGCCACACTTTAAAAAAATGAGTTATAATGTCAGTTTAATGAAAAGTGAGAGTTTTAAGATGATAAATAAAAGGTGTGGTGATTTGACTATCAAGAAAAAGGTGTGGTGATTTGACTATTAAGAAATAGAGTGGAGAGATAACAGAGTAGGCAGATGGACAAGTTGGATTGAGTTATCTTTCTAAGAGTGGAGAGATAACTCTGTTATCTCTCCACTCTTGGAGAGATAACTCCATGGATGGACAAGTTGGATTTTTTTTTTGCCTCTAGAAATTAATTTGAAAAGGGTGCAGTGCTATAAATATAAATTGAAGATTGCTGGTTAATATTTCTGGGTGGGGTGAACATGCAGCAGCAGGTTTTTAGTAATAGAAAGTTAAACAATATATTGTTGAGGTAATGACTTTTGTGATAGTGTATTGAGATGGTTTTGTGATGGTGCATTGAGATGTACTTTACAATTAGTTATATATATAGTTTTAGAGTATTATAAACATTATGCTGAGATATTAATGTCTGTGTAACTACAAATAAATTAGAGAGAGTGCATAGTAGAATGAGGTTTGATATAAGATAGAAAAGGAGACACATAATTTAAATATTTAAATGCAAAGGGTTTACTTACCTGTAATATAGTAGCTTTTAATAAATTAATCAATGGAACATAAAATTTTAATTAAATTGCTTGAAATCCATGGATTTTGTGTTATCTAGAAAAGAAATTGCTGATGTAAAAGCACTGAGATTGTAATTTACAAATTTTTATAAGAAAAATTATTTGTTTTTTTAGATAGAGAAAGTGATTGAATATCTTCTTTCAGAATCTGTTTATACTCCTCTTATGAAGTTTGTGTCTGGTTTTGAATTTTTGTTGAGTCAATGTTATGTAAGTAATTATTGTATTAGATCTTTTTTAAAGTTTAAAAATACTTAGTAAAAATATTTTTGCTATTTAGAGTTGGGAAGATTATGCAGCATCACATGTATCATTAAAACAACATATGCAGATTGTATCACAAAAAATTCTTGAATGGAGAAAGATCGAACTAAAGTTTGTTTAATTTTTTAAATACAGTGAATTAGTGAATATAATCTTATAATTGAGTAAATCTTTTGATAAGCATAATTTTAAAGTTTTATTTATATATATACGTGTGTGAGCGCGCATGTGTGTGTGTGCATATGTGTGTGTGTGTGTGTGTGTGTGTGTGTGTTTATTTAGGTATTATAGGTGTAATGATATAAAGTTTGGTATTTTGCATTTATATTATTTTACATAAACATAAACTCATTTCTTTATTAAAAATTTCAATTATTGAATTATCTTTCTTTAACCCTACTAGTAAAACTAAAAATGTCTGAATGAAAAAATCATTAAAAAGTTTAAAAACTATTAAAACTTTCTTATTATCTATGTTAATTTGCAAATATTTTTTTACATCAAAGCTGGATTATTGGTGAAGTTATTTAATTTTATTGTTTTAAATAATTGATAACTGCAAAACAACCAAAATTACTTAAAAATAGACAGTTCAATTCAGGTAGTTTAAAAATATATTGTATTTGAAGTTTTTATTTATTTGCAAAACATCAAGACTGTCTCAATTTTCAGTAAAATTAAAATCATAAAGTTACAGATATAATTATAAAGTTACATATATATAAAAAGATTTTTATTAAAAATTTTTTTATATATAAGTTTTTTATTAAAAAATTATTAAAATATTAAAAGTTCATTAAAATCATTATGTTATACAGTTCGAATGTTTAACGAAATAATAACAAGTTATTTTAAAATATATACAAATTTTAAGAATAGGTTTTTCGGCTAAAAGTATCCTGCAGACGTTTATTTCAAAAATATCTAAACATTATTTTAATAAAAATACTGTTAGAATAAAAATAATAAAACCAATATTATTAGATGATGCCATAATATTTTGGCATAGTATTATTTTTTAATTTTAAGAAATAGTTGGCAAAATTAATATGGCTGTATTTAAAGGGTTAAAATATAATATGTATACTAAGTATTCTTGATAAAAATATCTACCTGACTGGACAGCAGAAACATAAAAAATATTTGTTTACTTATTTTCATTTTATAAAATAATTTTAGTCCAAAATTTTTTTCTCTTTTAAAATTGACACCCCTAATTTATACTTAAATTCAAAATTTTATCTTTTTTTTATTTGTACTTCTCCATATTTTCTGATGTTTATTATAATTGTAATTACATCTTTATTTTTGCCATGAAAAGTATCACAAATTAATTTGAACTTGAAATGAGTGAACTTTTGAATTTATTTATATTTAAATGTTTATATGTTTAAAAATGGTTTAACTGAGCTGTGGCATAAAGAGCAATTGATTAAATGAATATGGTCAACCATGACAGTTAAGCTGCATATAAAATTGTGTGTTCCTCATCTATATTAATGATCCTGATACTCTTATTTCTAAATTGCCACTATTTGCTGATGGTACAATCATATAATGTAGTTTTAACAAAACGTTATCACTTTTTGATGCGTTCGAACAGGCAGCAATCTTAAATTTAATTTCTCTTCTGTGACAGCCTAGAGCTTACAGTGGCTGGCGAATAAACAAAACTTAGTTGTTTACTGCTAATTATAGTTGCAATATTGTTGTCTATATTGATTTATGGCAACTAAGTCCTCTACTTTATGAGTACTTCTAGAGAATATCCTCTTACAAAAGCCATACATATAATCAATTACTAAGCTGTCTCTCTTTATCTGCTTTCCATTTTCTTACTCCCGATTCCATCTTCAACCTCAATACACACTCCAGACAAATAAAAGATTTATATCTCTTATATTGCCTTTTTATGGAATACTGTTATCATATTTGAGCAGGTTCTTACAATGAAGCTCTTTCCTCTTTACACCGAATAAAAGAGGGAGAGAACTTGTACTTGAGCCTCGTTGTAAGATTGCATCATAGTAAACATAAACTAATGTGGCTCATTATTTAGCAAAGTTGCATTTGTTTGCAACTGGAACTGCTTCTTCATGCTTTAAAATCTTTTATTAATCTTGTTTTTTTCCTTTTACATTTGTGATATGGAATTCTCTCTAAATTGTATTTTGCCTTCATATTTTGTGACTAAAAATTTACTGTTTTTTAAGTCTCCTGTCACCTGTTTTCTTGCCCTCTACTCTTGTTTGCTTTCTATTAACATATTAACTAGTTGAAGCCTCCAGTCTTATTTGGTATGAATTTAGATTAAAATGTATAGGCATCATAACTTTCTTTGTATTAGAGTTAATTACTAAATTATATCTGATTATACATTCTAAATTTTAACCATTCTGTTAAAGTAGAATATAAGACTTGACAACAGGAAAAATCCTCTCAAGTCCTCTTTTTTTAAAAACCTTCTCAAAAATCCTCTATTATCCACTAAAAAATTGAAAATGTGATTTAATCTTTAACTCATCTTTTTTATTTTTTTATTTCTTGATAGGTGTTTTAAAAATACCTTTTCCTGGTCTGGAACACTGGTTAACATCTGAAAATCAATCGGTTTTTAAAAAATTACATTAAACCAATAAAATTAAAAAAGTTCTCTAAAGTCCTCTATTTTTATTCAGTACATTTTTAGTTTTGCAAAAATATTCTCTAAATCAGATACTAAATCTCCTCTAGAATCCTCTAATATCCTCTTTTACTTTCAAGAATTTTTTTTTTTTTTTAATTTGCATTCACTCCCAACAAGGCTGCAAGCAACCACTATTAAGTTGGGAGTTACTAGGGAAAAAAAAAAAAAGAACAGAGTTATAGAGCAAGGAAACATTTGACAGAAGACTTGAAAAGTTGAAGGTTGTATGAGTCAGGAAAACATGAAGATGGGAGAGAGTTCCAAAGGATTGAAGCGCGGGGAAAAAAACTAGATGAATAAAACTTTTTAGAGCATGCAGGGACAGATATAGTAAACGAATGAGACTTAGCTGAATGACAAGTAAAACGAGAATGAATTTTAGTTGATGGAACTAGAGATGATAACTCATTTGAGCAGTGACCATGATAGTATCTGTAGAAAAGAGAAAGAGATGCAACTTTACGACGATGGGACAGAGGTTCAAGCTTAGCAGATAGTCCAGGTCCAACAACATTTACAATGCGTTTTTGAACTTTGTCAAGAAGAGAAAGTGAATCGTTAGAAGAACCAGCCCAAATATGACAACAGTATTCTATACAGGGACAAATAAGTGATTTGTAGAGGTAGAGAATGAATCAGAAGTAAGGAAATGGCAAGCACGAAAAAGAGAAGCAACTTTAGCAGAAGCTAATTTAGCAATCGATTGTATATATGGTTTCCATGAAAGGTCAGTAGTAAGCGATAATCCAAGAAGACGTAAAGAGGACGACTCAGTAAGAGGATTGCCATTCATTAATATAGGAATGTTGACCATATTACGGTAGTTGTTTGCAGTAAGCAATTGGGTTTTTTTTAGAGTTGAAATTCACAAGCCACTGTAAACCCCAATCTATTACTGAAGTGAGATCAGATTCAAGATCAGCTGCTTGTTCTAGGCAATCGAAAAGAGAAGACTTTTTGTCAAGACGGGAGTATAAAGTTGAGTCATCAGCAAAAAGAGCTACTTTAGATGAAAGGTTGTCAGGAAGATCGTTTATGTAGATAAGAAACAAAACAGGGCCCAAGATGGAACCTTGGGGAACCCCAGAAGTTACTGGAAATAAAGAAGAGTGTTGGCCTTCAAGGATGACTTTAATAAACCGGTTAGAAAGAAATGGTTTGATAATCTCAAAAACTTTCCCAGAAACACCATATGAAGCAAGCTTATGGAGAAGACCAGCATGCCAAACTTTGTCGAAAGCTTTAGATATGTCGAGAGCAATAGCCCTAGCCTCACCGCCTCCATCTAATGCACGATAAAATCTTTCAGTTACAGCAGTTTGCAAGTCGGCCGTAGAGCGAGAGGATCGAAAACCGTATTGATTGTCTGACAGTAGTTTATTTGACTCAAGATGAGATGTGAGGAATTTGTTGATCAAAGACTCAAAGACCTTGCTAATAACAGAAAGAAGACTGATCGGACGATAATTGGAGGGGTCAGAATTTTCTCCAGAGTTTTTGAATATTGGAACCACAGATGCCATTTTCCAACAAGCAGGAAAACAAGACTCAGTCAAACACTTGTTAAATAGTTTAGAGAGAATTGAAGAAAGTTCTGGAGAACAGTTCTGCAAGACTGTGACAGGAATGTTGTCTGGACCACAAGCTGTAGACGAGTTTAATTGAGATATGACTTAAGCAACAGACGCCAGAGTGATTTGAATGTCTAACAATGGGTCAACCTGTTTGACTGGAATGGAAGGAAGAGAATGTCCATAAGATTCAAGAGTGGAATTAGAAGAAAAGTTCTTTGCAAATAGTTCTGCCTTATCCTTGGGAGAGGTAATAAGATCAGTCCCATGAATGAGAGATGGAATGTTAGATCTACCCTTGTTAATAATGCTGTTGAAGATTTTCCAAAAGTCTTTAGAGCCTAACTTATGCGATAAGATGCCAGATTTAGTGAACTGAGAATAATGGAGTTTAGCATCAGAAAGCACCTTTTTACATCAATTTCTTGCAATAATAAATAGCCGTTTGTTCTCAAGAGAGTTGTTCTTTTGAAAAAGATAAAAAAAATGATTACAATTGGATATAGCAGCCGCACAAGAAGGAGAAAACCATGGAGTAGAATGAGGCTTGACTTAAAACCGACGAGAAGGAATAAAAGCTTCCATTCCAGCCTGAATCCAGGAGGTTATGTAGGAGGCGCATTTGTCAGCTGAGAGAGAAAAAACATCAGTCAGCTTTAGGGTAGTAGTAGGTGGTGCGATGATAAGGTGAGCCCAAAAAAGAAGTATGAGAAGAAAGATTTATAGAGATCATTGCAGAAAAGGGAGAAACTGAACATAAGCTAGGGTCAGAGACAAGACATAAGTCAAGGAGTGAAGGTAAATGATTAGGGTTGTCAGGAAAACGAGTCACAAAGTTAACTATCTGAGTAAGAGATTGAGAAACGCAGAAGTTAAAGGCTTTAGTGCCAGCAGGATCAGTGGTGTTAGAGCCAAGCCATTCAGTGTGATGGGCATTTAAATCACCAACAACAACAATATTGGCAGAGGGGTAAAGAGAGAGGGCATGGTCAATTTGATCAGAGATAACATCTAAAAGAGTGCAATCATGGGAAGAAGGAGAACGATAAAGAAATTTTATGTGGTTACCCTGAATAGTTATGCGCTTTTTTTTTTCTTCTTCCAGAAAAGACAAAATAATACTTTTTATGTTCATACTTCAAATTTTTTAACATTGATTTATACCAACACACCATTTATAACATTTAATCACTTTATATAATGAAAAACCAATCTCATGCTGGGACAATAAAATAACTTGATTTTATGGTTCTCATTTTTTTGATATTTGAAACCATTTTTATATTTTTATAAAAATATAAATAAAAACTTTATATAAAATAAAAACTTTATATATGCAAAATAACTTCTTCAATTAATTGGGTCCTATTTGTAACTTTTTCTAGTAAAATTTTTCTCTTTAATAGCTCTCTAACATTTTCTATGGATTTAGATCTATATAGTTACTTGGTCAATCCAAAAGGAAATTTTTTTAGAGACATCAATAATTTTTTATGGATTTTGTGTGATGTGGGGCTCCTAACTGCATAAATATTTTCTTCTGCTTATTTGAAAACCACTTCTTTTATTGAGGAAAAAGATGGATATTACTGACTTTTTTTGTTTTGATTCTGTTTCAATATTCCATACGCAATGTTCAGTTAAGGATCTTTTTCACTTATAACAAACCAAAATATAAATTTGGGAAAATGTTTATTTGTCTGGATTACTCAATCTTCATGGAGTTTTTTATTGGAAGCCCTTTTCACATATTGAGCTTTTTGGGTCATAAATTCTACAGTAGACTTAGCACTGAAGCATACCCAGAGAAAACAGAATACAATAAAATCACTAAATACAAATACTGGAATATTAAGGGAGGCGGGGGGGGGGGAATTTACTTTTGTTTTTATAATGAACTGCTGATTTCCAGTTATTAACAGTGAAACTAATGTACTTTATTGTCTAATTCAGGTTCTTTTTTCTCTGAGAATTGGTTAATTTTGATTTTTGTTTCTACTTTTGATGCAAACTGACAACTTGTTAATTGCTGAGTATATAGTAAAACTATTTTATATCACTGGCTTTCATTCCTTGTTATTTTTATTTTTTTGAATGCATTTACCTTGCCTCTGAATACCTAATGGAAGACCATTTTTCAGTTTGTCAGTGATTTGCTTCACAAATGTGTCTTGATTTTTCACTTATCTAGTAATGCTTATCAGTCAGAACATATTGCAAAATTCCTTTTTTTTTTTTTTTTTAGAACTGAAAAAAAAAGAAATAATATCTATAAAAACACTAATAAAAAATATATTTTTTAAAATTATTATTTTAAATATTTTTTATAATTTATTTTTAAGTCAATGGAAGAAATTACTTGACCAAAGTGAACTTGAAGCAGCTGATGTGTCATCATTCTGGTTTCATTTTTATAATTTATGTCGCAATTTATGTAATAAGAATGAGGAAGAAATAAAATCTAATAGAGGTTTGGAAATTATACTCAACAAAAGATATAAAAATTTTTAAATATATTTTTGATTTAAATGATTTTTTTGATTTTTGGTTGTTTTAGATTCTCTGATATTAGCTGTTAAAGAGTTTTTGGAAGGATCAAATGTCGGAGAATATAGATCTCGATTGCAGCTTGTATACACTTTGTATGCATACTTATGTAGTAATGGAACTGAACAAGGTTAATTTTTTTTCTGCTTATTTAGAGTCAACTTAACACCTTGTTTATTTAGTCAAAATTTATTTAATTAAATTTTTTTTTTATTTGTTAATTTTTTTATTACATTGTATTATTTTAGTACAGTTTTTGTTTGTTACAGGTACCCTAAATGCAATATGGAATATGTGGATGTATTACAATCAGTTTCAATCTGCCATTTTGTTATCTTTATCTGAGAAAAAAAAACCAATTGAACAACAGATAAAAGTTGGTTTTATTTTATTTATAACACATTTTCTTCAAAACCTTTTTCTTGTTTGATTTTCGACTTTTGCTCTTTTGTTTCAATATCTTTAATGATCAACAAACAATACAATTAATTGGTAATGATTTATAAATAAGTTAATTAATATTTATCTAAAAAATAAAATACTACATATTGTTTAGAACTTTAAATGTTGTGCTTTTAATTGTTAGGCAGTGTTATGTATCATCATCATTAACCTTATTGTTTTTTAAGTTGCTTAATAATAAATTAACTTCATGGCATCAAAATCCATAATATAATCCTTTATTTTTGAACTTTTTGGAAGGCTTAAGTCTTATATTATATAAAATAAAGTCAGTTTCTTTTCTTTCCTTAGCTGCAAGGATAGAGGGGGTAATGTTAGTTTATCTGACTGAATACTACGGGTAACAACCCGTGAAGATATTTCTATCAGATTATAAGTATAACAATAAACGATAAATTCTTTTAAGAAAACATTATTTGTCACACAAGAATGGACCTTTACGATACTGTATTAAAGGGCTTTTTAAAGATATATAACATTGTGGTATTTATTAAATTTAAAATTTTTAAGTCACTTACCTACAAAATATCATGCCTAATTATGATATATTGTAGTTAATTTTAGTAATAATTTTTCCAGATGCAAGCAAAAACAATTGCTATAGATATAGGGGAGAGTTGCTTTAATTGGAACACTTAAGGAATAAATATTAACCAAAAATGACTTAACTATAAAAACATTTATGATTTGATTAATAAAAACAGACAACCCTACTATACTTTTAACCACAATTTGACTTAATTGATTGCACTGTTATTGAAAATAAAATTGTTTTTGCAAAGGTGCCATTTTGTTTCAATCAAGGCAAATGGTTCCCTAAATTGGAACACTTCGATTCCTTAATCAGAACAGGTTACTTTTAAAAAAAAAAACACAGTAGAATCAACAAAAATTTGTAAAAAATGATTTTCATCTTTACAGTGAAAATTTAAACAGTTAATTCAAAACTTATTATAGGATTAGTATTACCATGACAAATTTAAAGTCTACAAACAAAAAATTCTATAAAGCTTCAACTGTTATGGCGTTCTCTTAAATTATTGATTAAAAATCATTAAATAAAATATTATTTTTAAGGTTTATGGTTGTTACTAAGTATTTTTTAACCAATTTTTGTAAGAGTGTAGTTTTTGATAAAATTTCTCTTTGTTCTTTTTTAACTTTTTAAATGTATACTTTAAACTTATAATTATAATAAGCTTAAGTTTAATGTAATACACTTCTTTAAGGTTGGTATTTATTTTCTATACAATATTTATTGTAATATTATTTTTATTTAATATACTATTTATTTATATAGTAATCATAAAAAAATATTTTTTTATAATTTTAATTTAGCAAATCAATACTATTTTACTTAAATACACTTAATTTATCATGTCCATCATAATGATATTATACTTAAATTGCATTAATTTAGGACTTTGTGAAGATCACAAAATGGACAGACATCAATTATTATGCATTAAAAGATACAATTTCTAAAGCTCACAGAACACTTAGAAAATATGTACAAAAATATAAGGTATTTTTAATCTAGCAGCTTTATTTAATTTAATTTTATTTAAAGTTTGTTTTATTATTTAGCAAACAACCAGATATAATAACTATAAATACAAATATAAAAATATTTGTATTTATAGTTATTATATCTGGCAATATTATTATATATTATATTGTTATTATTACTTTATATTTTTGCACGTTAAATCTGCCAGTCAACTGTCCTTTCTTTTAAAATATTAAAATCTTTTTGTAAACTAATATTATCTAATTCTGATTTAATAACTGCTAAAAGTTTATTATTGTAAGTTTGCCTACAGTTTTGATTCTAATTAATAAATCATTTATAATAACTACTACTAATAACCTTAACAATGAAACACTTATGTTGCTGATGGATACACTACTATGAAATGCTTTTGTTGCTGATGGATACACTACAATGAGATGCTTTTGAAAAAATTAATATTAACTCATCTACATTGTATCCATCATCTTTGGTAAAATAATAAATTTTTTGTTATCAATTTTTTTTTTTTAATATTAACGATGTCATGTTTTTGTTTTATTATCAATTGTTTCATTATCGTATCTTGTATAATTCATCAGCAAATGCTTTGGTGAAAAAATCAATTTGTTATTATCAATTTTTTTTTTTTTTAAATTAACGATGTCATATTTTTGTTTTATTATCAAGTGTTTCATTATCTTATCTTGTATAATTCTATTAATTTAAATACAACTGAAGTTATTAAATTTTGACAATAGTTAGATGGTTCAAGTTTGCTTCCTTTTTAAATTAGGGGCATAATGTTTGCTCTTTTTTAAATGCCTGAAACAACAATCGATTTTTAAGACTTGTTAGATGATATTGATAAAGGCTCGTTGAGTGATTTAAAACACATTTTGAGAACTTTATGGGTTCTCAAAATGTGTTTTAACTCCAACGGTTTTTTGTACATCATGTTGATATGGACTTTATTAAGTGCTCCTGTAAAGCTTAGATTTGGGCATTCAAATTTAAATTTGTACATAACTTTTGGAGCATTTGTTAAATCTACTTTCGTGAAAATTGAAATAAAATACTTGTGTAATGTACTGGTTGTTATAGCTCCATTTGTAGTACTTTATTTAACTGCTTTTTGAATGCTATCAGTCCAATAAAATGTTTTTATTGATTTCTTTGTTGATGTTTTCCTGTAAATATATGCAAATACTGGTTTAGAATTTTGTTTGGAATTCAATGCTAATTTTTGTTCTAAATCCTGAGTACCTTGTTTTGCCTTTTTTTTTTTTTTTAATATCCAAATTCAAATGTTTGTATGCTGTAACCAACACATAGTTTTTCTAAACTACATATCATATTTTTATAAAAATACTTTTTATTTTTATTTAATTTCTTTAAATATTTTTACTTAAACTTTGTAAATGAATATAATTAAAAAATATGATTAAGAAAAATACATTTTGTCTTTACAATTGTCTTTGTAATAATGTGGTTTAATCCGTATATTGATAATTAAAATCAACTTCTCCTTTGAGTATGCATAGTCACAAGAATAGATTGTCTTGAAACAAACAATTTGTTAATGCTTTTATTGTTCAAAAAATTACTTGTTCTCGTTCTTCTGAAGGTGCACAGTAAATCATGTACTTTTACACACTTTCTCAAATAAGCTGAAGTTTTTACCAATTGTGTTCTATATTATTTCAATTTAAAATGAGAAAACTATGTGGGATAGAGTGAGACTTGACTTAGAAACCATGAATTAGAGTGAGGCTTGAGTTGAAAACCGAGGAGTGAGGCTTGACTTAGAAATGGCTAGAAGGAATAAAATTCTCTTGTCTGCCTGAATCCAATAGGTTATTTAGGAGGCATGATTATCAGTAGAGAGACAAAAGTCATCAGCCCAAGGACATTGCTTATTATTTTTACTGTAGGCAAATTAAAATAAAACAATTTTATTACTAAAAAAAGTATATGTTCAAATTTAAAAGTATATATATTAAGTCAATTTAATTGAATATAATAGCATAATTTGTTAAAATAATTCTTAGAATAAAAATATAATTGCTTATGAAGACATTGTAGTTGTAAAGTTTGTTAAATGAGGTACTTTGTATTATGAAGACATTGTAGTTGTAAAGTTAAATGAGGTACTTTGTATTGAATTTTAAAATTACTGAACCATTCTCAATTATAAAATAACTTTATCTTTATCTAACCATCTTGCTTTTAATTATAAAATCTCTAATTAAGTTTTAATACTCTAATTAAGTAGTCTTTATTTATTATTAATTTTTTTGTTATTTATAATATTCTAAACTGTTATAAATACAAATAAAACTCATTTAAAAATAAAAAAAATTTAAAGTTATCTAAATATAACAGCTTATTCTTCCATTAAAAAAAAAATTATCTGGAAAAAAATAAATTATCTGGATTTTTTTTTTTTGTTTTTTTTTTTTGTTAATTCACCTCCCCAAAGCCATGAAGGCCACTACATACGAGGAGGCTACTTAGTTGTGGTTATAACCCTCTGTCAGCTCTATAACTCCGAAACACGAACCTTGATGAACAAGGCCAATGCGCAGAGAAACAAGTTGAGTGTGGTACTACCAGGGGTGTGGTGCAGATCGAACTCAAAATCTCTCACTTATGAAGCAAGTGTTACCACTACACCACTACCACCTAGTACACATACCCAGTAATATACTAATTTCAAAAAAATAAAGCATAAGTAGACTGCTGTTGTATATAGTCAAACTTTTCTTAGATCAAGGAATAATTTCTGATGTACTAAAACTAACAAAAGTAATTCCAAATATGACCATTCTGATATTTCCAGCTACAGACCTATATCAGTGCATTCTGTATTTTCAAAGATATTCAAATAAGTAATTTATAATAGAATCTTTGACTGTTTTGAAAAACTATTTTTTTATTCAAAACAAGATCATTCAGCTAAACATTATTGAATTAGTAAATCAAATAAATAGTTGACTTTAACGAAAACAAATTTATATCAAGAATATTTTTTAATCTAACAAAAGCTTTTGACATTGTTGATCACTGTATTTAGAAAGGTTGAAGCATTATGGGATAATTAATAAGGGCTACTGTTGGATTAAAAGTTACATTACTGATAGAAAAAATATGTTCAAAATAAGGAATACAAAATACTTTAAATCCTGTGTGGTGTACCACAAGGATCAATACTAGGCCTTCTCTTTTGTTAGTTTATATGCACTTGCTTTTTATGGTATAAGTTTATATATATTTTAAATCTTTGAGTATTTAAATTGAAAATCTTACATCTTAGATCATTATAAAATTTGACGATATTTATATTTCGGGGTATTGCACCACCCATATCTTCTTTGAGCCCCTGTATGTTTTTTAAAATTGTTTTATTTATTGATATTATTAAAGTGAATCTCTTATGTAACATATTTTATTAAACAGCAATATATATACTGCTATCAAAAAAAAAAAAAAAAAAATCCTTATTTGTAAAAATGCAAATTTACTGTATTTTTTACCTACTCAGTGTAGTTCCTACCTTCTTTTCTTTTTTACCTACTTCAATGTAGCCGATTTACCAATTATTCAAATCCTTTAACTCGGAAGCATGATTTTATCAGCGCATTGTGTCCAAACAAGAGCTTTAGATGTTAAAATTTTTTTGCAACATGTTTTTTTTAATATTTAAAGAAACTTTTCTTTTTTATATATTATTTTCAAAACCTTTTGACTACACCTAATAGTGAATCTAAAGAATACCATTTTGAAGTCTTTACATCGCTTTGGCTCATTGGTATTAACATGAACTTAGTTAAAATCTTTTGAAAAAGTGCCTTAAACCACTATAGAACCTAGTTCGGTTCTGACGTATATATTTACTATATATAGTTATCAAAATACAATATTTCTATTAATTTTCACCAAAAAAAAAATACTAGAATTCCGACCAAGAAAGAGCTTATAATTAAGAAAAATTGCCAATAAATGATCAGAACAGATCATATTATTAAACTATGATGTTTATTTTACCTAAAAAAACGTATTGATTTAAAATCTTATTCAAATTTAGACAAGCAATTGTAATTTTAAGAAGATTTTTTTTAAATAAAGAATCTTCATTCTGGGTTTTTTCACTGCAAACATTTATGTTTTATGATACCGCAAAATTTATCACTTTAATTTTTTTCTTTTTTCCATAATTCACAGACCTGATCATGTAACAGAAGTATTTCTTAGTCAACAAAATATCATACAGAAACTATGATATGATATGCTATGGTATTTTATGATATGATATGCTATGATATTTTAAAATTGCATTAATGACACTGAGTAGAGGCTGTCTATTATGGGCTTTACCATTATTTATTTAAATTTAACCTAAGAGTGAACTTGCCTTACTCATCATCCATCCAAAGGTTTTTTAAACAATTGTCAATTGAATGGATTAGGGCAGTCTATATTGTCTTAAATGGTCGCACATTTAAAATTCTGAGGTCCTCTGTTTTGATTTCTTACTCATAGAGCTAACAAAAGTTGCATTCTCTTCTGCTGCAATTATGGCCATCAACCCTCTTTTGTAATTGGCGGCAATTCAAATCGATCTGATTTGCATGGGAATAATAGCCATTTGGTTAATAAAACTGGAACAATTAGAGCTGACATTTTGAGCATGGCTTGAGAGGCAAAGTACAAGTTACAATGCTTACAGATTCTCTGAGAAAAAACTCGATTGCACAGAGGGACGAAGCAGATCATAAGATAAAAGTTTGAATGATTTTAATGATCAAGGAATGGTCTGAATATTGGAGGCAATAAAGAAAATACAGGAGGGAAATGATTTTTGATGGTTACATCTGAAGCAGCTATATCTTTCAATCCAGCTTCTGACTGGCAGATTAGAATGAGTGGAGACTCATTCTATTGACTGATGCTCACATGAGAGTCAAACCAGTCCTGATTCTTTGATAAGAGATGATGATGATTGAGCTCTGTTTTGTCATATAGATCAATTTACTCAATTAACCGATCAATAAACCGTTGGGAACTGATCAATCTGAGAAACCTGAAAAGGCCCAAGCACTGCTCTTTCTAACAAATTTAAAATTCTGTTTCTCCAACAGCAGATCCTGGCCTAGTTGTAAGTTGCAATAAAGATAATTCCATAAGCCTTGATATATACATGTTATACATATAAGATTATGTACAGCTAAGACTAATATGAATGCAATGAACTATTTGAGCAATGAGTTTAAATGACAGCGAATATAGAACTTAAAGCTTACTAAACTTAACAAAATTTAAGTTTATAGACAAAATTAACTTTAATGACAAAATTAAAGCATAGTAAAACAAAAATAAGAGTTTTCATATATTATAATTCAAAATATAAAACAACTACAGTTGCTATAGAACAACTACAGTTAAATATAGAACAACTACAGTTGTTATAGAACAACTACAGTTAAATATAGAACAACTACAGTTAAATATAGAACAACTAAGAAACTAATGATAATCCAAAGTGTGGATTAACTCAACAAAGTAACAGAAACAACATGAAAAATTTTCATTTTATATATAAGAATAGTTTCTTAGGTAAATATATTTTATCCTTAAAAAAAAACAATAGAAACATCTTGTTATCTAGTTGTTATCTGACTAAAAAGTGTCAAAAAAAAAAAAAACATGTAAGAGAAATAAGTCCAATATTACAGTGTATGGTTATACTTTTATTTTATTGTTTTATATTTGCTTTTTATAGTTTTATTTATTCCTTTATGTAATTTTATTATTTATTATCATATGAACAATAAAACCTTTTGCTTTATTTATTAGAAAGTTTTAGGTGAACCAGTCATTCAATTCTTCAAAGATACTAATGTGTTATCCTCAACTGTTGAAAAGCACAATGATGTAAAAACGTTTGTTTTGAATATTGATAAAAGCTTGTTTAATGGACATCAAATGATTAATCACATGGATCATCAAGTGATTGAGTTTTCTATGTATCTAAACAAAGTACCTAAACTGCGATTGAAAATGAAAAAGCATATCAAATACATTACAGAATTGATGACTTATGACTCTCTCACCCAAACATTAGATGAGTTTACTGGTATGTTTTGTATTTTGTATTATGATACAAAATCAATGAGTTAGTAATTGAATAAATATTAGATGAATTTGAACAATTTTACTAACACAGTTTTGGGTTTAAAATTTTAAGTTTCAAAATAAAAAATTAAATATTTTTTATAAATCAATTTTGTAGGAGAAATCATTGAAAGTATTCTTGAGCTTCAAAAAGATAACATTTCAAGCTTGGTATGATCTTTGATTTTGCCATTAAATGTTAATCACATTTAATTACAATTTTTAGATTATTGTTTTTCTATTAAAATTTTATTTAGGCAAAAGAAAAACAGAAAGCTGCACGTAGTCTTTTGCAGCAACAGAAAAGAAAATCACTATCTTTATTATTTCGAGAGCTTCGAAGAATTGGTAATTTTAATGTTTGATTTTCAAACTCTTCTTCCTGTTGAAATTATTTGCTGAAACTTTGTTTTTTGGGTTTACATTAGGAATTTCATATAGAAAAGGATTGTTGCTATTTACCAATGAAGAAGACTTAAGTTGTATACCTGTCTTAGATGAAAACAAATTTGATAAGTATTAGTTTTTGTTTTTTTTTTTTAATCTTATTTCAACATAGTATGTGGTTGTTTATTAAGCAATGCATATGATGATTTAGGTTTCAGAAAGCTAAAAATAATATTGAAGCTGCAAATTTATATTATTTTCGATGTGTCGCTAAAAGTTCATCCTTCAATTCAGCACTTTGTTCACCATCAAAGGTAGTACTAATGAGTCTAAAATAATCTCAAATTTTAGAGATAAATTTACTTTTTTACATTTCTTTTTTGTTTGCACCACATTTTAAAACTTTTTTCTATCTAAGGAAATTAGTCCAGCAGAAATTTCAAAATTCAAAGGTTTTTGTGGTCATCTTTATTTTCTGGTCACTGAACAAAGAAAACAGATAGATGGGTTGATAACCGGATACTGCCATTTAAGGTATATTTAAAAAAAATAATTGTAATTTAATAAATAATGTTATGAAATTTTGAATTTGTAATATTATTTTTTAGAAATTCAATATCAATATGTAAAAATTTAAAAAGCTCAAAAAATGAAAATGGAATTTTACCACCTCAAAATACTGTTAAATATTGGAATGTAAGTAACATAATAGTTTAGTGTGTTTTTAAAACATAATTTACAATCAATTGTAAAAATTGGATTAATTAAGTATTTTTTTTTTAATTAAAAGTGTAAAAAAAGAAATTCAAAATTCATCCAATTTTATGAACAGCAAAACTATTAGTTTTTAATTTAATTTTTTGTTATTATTATATTTCATAGTTAATTATTTTTTCAATTTAGAATTTTAATAAATGATTTTTCTTTTTGAAAACTTTTAAAGAGTATCCTTGTGAACATTTTTTTAATGTTTTTAATGAACATTTTGTTTTTTAAAAACTTTTCTTATTCTTGTGAACATTTTTTTATAGAATGAAGTCACCTCACAATTATTCAACACCATAGAAAGTTTAACTGATTTTAAGAAGATACTTAGTAATTGTCCTTTGCATAATCTAGATTATGATAGCTTAACACCATTTGCTACTTCGATGCTTCCTAAAATATCTAGCTGGTGTAAGGATACTCCTGAATTAAAAGATACAATGAATAAAACTCAAGTAAAAAAAAATTCAATTTATTTATCAGATCAACGCAAAACTTTGATTTTTCATGATTTTTAAAATTGTACATTTTTCAATTTAGGCCTCGCTAGACATTCTTCGCGACGCATGTAATACATACTTCTATTCTCCAAAAGATTTATTCTATTGGTAAACATAGTTTTTCAATTAGTTTAGAACTTTTTAAATTTTTTTGAGTTGGTATTTAAATTTTATGTTATTATTTATTATATTTAATGATAAAACTTTAATGACCATTTTAATAACATTTTATAGGTCTCATTGGGAAAATCTTTCAGTAAATCTAATGAAGTTGAAAGATGTTTCTAATTTAATAAATGATTTTACCAAATTTTTTACTACTGATGGGTGAGGATTTTCATGTTACTAATTGCAAATTAATTCTATTGATCAATAGAGTTGTAGCTATTTGTTCTATTGATCAATAGAATTGTAGTTATTTGTTCTATTGATCAATAGAATTGTGGTTATTTATTCTATTGATCAATAGAATTGTGGTTATTTATTCTATTGATCAATAGAATTGTGGTTATTTATTCTATTGATCAATAGAACTGTGGTTATTTATTCTATTGATCAATAGAATTGTAGTTATTTATTCTATTGATCAATAGAATTGTGGTTATTTATTCTATTGATCAATAGAATTGTGGTTATTTATTCTATTGATCAATAGAATTGTGGTTATTTATTCTATTGATCAATAGAATTGTGGTTATTTATTCTATTGATCAATAGAATGGTGGTTATTTATCCAGTAGTAAGTATAATATTTAAAATTAACATATTGTGGTTATTTTTAAGCAATTCTCTTTCTGGTTCGTTTATGGATGATCTAATCGAGGTAAATAATAAAAATGTATCGTTACTGGAAAACTTTTCAAAAGTTAGTCTTAATAGTCCACATGATGATCCCACTTGTGGTATGATTTTTTTAGAATTTTTTTATTTTGTGTTTAAATTTTGTTGGTTTGTTTGCTTGCTGGTTTTTATTGTTTTTTATGATTTTTGAATAGTTTTTAAAGTTATGTTATTTATTAAAGTTAAAATTAATTTTGTTTTTAGGCATATTTGTGTATGTAATAAATAGTTGCTTTTTGTTTTTGTTTTTAGAAAATTTTATTGATAAACTTGAGTGTTTCATTAAAAAAATGCTTATATCAGTGCAAAATTTAGTTAAACATGCAGAGGAGTTTAAACAAAAGATTGGTTTGGAAAAAAAAGGTTTTTTTTTTTTTAATGTTGTTAAATTTAAATTTTTACCATGTAAAATTAATTTTTTAATTGCTTTATTTTAGAAACTGACACTGAGCTTATCACTGGACTCTTTTGCCCTTTACTATCTAGTAACTTTGTTTCACATACTAATTTTATTCAACTGAAAAGTCTTTTAGATGAATGGAATGAAATTGTTGCCCATTTGCTCATAGCATTTAGTGACTCCTGCAACAACTCGTGTGTTTATAATTTATTGCCAGTTATAGCTCCATTAATTGATATGTTTTCTTCATTGGTTGAGTTTTACACTTTTCATTGGGTGGCGCTCCATAGAACAAGTTGCAAGCTTCTTATTGTTCTTTATAATTTATTTTCTGATTTACTTGAAAAGGTAAAATAAATAATCATATAGTATTATATATACTTACTTAAGGTATAAAAAACTTGAATAAAAAATTGGTTCCTAATTTAAATAACAGGGTTATTGCATACCTGCTGAGGAAGATAACTCTTTAGAGACAGAAGGAGCAACAAAGTTTAAAGATGTTCAGCCAAGTGGTTTGGGTGAAGGCCAAGGAGCTAAAGATGTCAGTAATGAAATTGAGAGTGAGGACCAAGTTGAAGATACAAAGCATGGTGATCAACCACAAGATGAACAGCCTGAAAAAGAAGATATTAAAGAAGAAAAGGAAGGGATTGAAATGACAGATGATTTTGATAGTATGTTGTTTGCAATGCTTAAAACAAAATATTTGTAAATGTATTTACTATAAATATTATTATTATTTACAAATATCTATAATATGCAAAGATTTTTATGCAACTTATATTAGGTTTAAGCTAAAATATTTTATAATTTTTAAAAATTTGCTTTTAATTAAGACAGAACAAAAAATTTATAGAAAAAAAATAATCATGGTTAAGAAATAAAAAGGTTTTCCTCGGGTGGTTGACTTTCCCTAGACAATGGCATTAATTTTTTTTTAAATTATGTCAAAAGTATTTATCTTAAGGTCATTTACAAGATGTTGAAGATTTTGATGAATCTTCTGGTGATGAAGATGAAGATTTAAAAGAAGACAATGAACAACAAATGGGTGATGTTGATAAAGCAGATGAAACTATTGACAAAAAGATGTGGTCTGATGATGAAGATGAAAAGGAAGATGTTAATGAAAGTGACGATGATTTTAATGGTGAAGGAGCTGATTCTGCAGATTCACAATTAGTTGCTAATGAAGATAACCCTGGTAATATATTATTTAATGTTTTTTTCTTTAGTTGTTGTTGTTGTGTTTTTAAATGTTTAACTTTTTTTATTCTGTTTAATTTTTTAAATATTCAACTTTTTATAAAATAATTTTTAAAAAGTATAACTTTTATTAAAAATTTAGAATAAGTTTTTTAAAAATGCATATATTTTACTATTTATTTTAGGTGAGCAGGCTAGTAAAAACAAAGAAGAGAAAGCTAGAAATGAAGAGTTGGAAAAATTGGATGAAGAGGATTCAGAGAATCAAAATAAAGATGATGAATTTCAAAAAAATGAAGAAAATCAGAACCTTAGAGATGATCAGGATTTATCTATTGATATGAAAAATGAAACAATGGAGGAGGAATGTGATGAGAATGTTGATGAAAATGTTGATGAGACAAAAGAAAACCAGGAAAATTTAGATACTGATGAAGAAGTTATGGATGATAGATCTGATGAAAAAAATCAAGGTTTACATTGAATTTTTTTGGTGGTGATGATGATGATGATGATGATGATGATGATGATGATGATGATGATGATGATGATTATGATGATGATGATGATGATTATCACCAATATCATCGCCCATTACCATAAATGTTATTGATTTAATTGTTTAGAGAAAGATGATGAAAAAGATGAAATAGCTGAAAATGACAAAGATACAGAGCATCAAGTAAGTTTTTATTTTAAAAATATTTAATTTAAATATGAATTTTTGACTGAGAAAAAAATTTTAATTACTGATCGAATTTTTAAACACCCTTAGATTGAAAAATACATCATTAAATTTTACTCTTTTTTAATTTTTTTACTTCTTTTTTTTATTCATATTTGTTTAATATGTTGTAAGTTGATATTTATTACCATGATTGGTTGAAAGTTGGACGATTTTAAATTGAGTTTTTTCAAAAACCGCTTAAGCAATTGTAATGAATTTTTTTATAATGATGCTTACATAATTGATTTTTCTGTAAGTGGGTTTAGTTTTGATTAATTCTCACTAGTTTTTGCAATGTCAAGTAAAGAGTCTAAAAATCAAAAAACAAAAATTTAAAATTTTTCATAGAAAATCCATCATTTTCATATTCTATGATTTCAAAAGCATATAAAGTTCCAAAAGCAACTGTTGGAATTGTTATAAAACATTGTAAGGAAAATAAAAATGTAAAAAAAAGATAATTGGGAAATGGTAGAAAATCAAGATTTATTTCCAAAAAAAAGGCAAAATCAATAGTTGGCTTGATTCATCAAAATCCGACTCATTCACAATAAGATTTGGGTACCAAGTTTAAATGCTTTTGTTCAAAGAGTGTTCAAAAAGAAAAATCTGAAAGCATATTACAAGAAAAATGTACAAAAAAGGTCGTTAATGGAGAAATCAAAGCAATTGGACAAGCTAAAAATTTGCTTAAATTAATAATGAAAAAAATTTAGGCATTTTTGAAGACAATGAAACTTACTGTAAAAAAAAATCTCTCGGTACTTCTAGGTAATCAATACTATTATTAGTCAAAAGTTATAAAGCTTCTGACAAATTTAAGTACATTTGAGTTGAAAAATTTGGTCTCAAGCTCCTTTTATGGCAGGCTATTAGCAGTTGTGGTTTTAAAAGCTCTCTTTTCATAACAATGTTATATTATATTTATCAAACCAAGTTATTGAATCTTACTGGGCAATTGTAAAAGAAATTAAAGAAAAGAGGCAAGTTAGTTAAAGTAGTGTTATAAGTTTCCAAGATTTATGGGTTAATGCTACAAAAAAAGTGACACAAAGTAATGTTGTGGAAATGATGGCTGGTACTTTACAAAAAATTTAATTACCTGCATGTCGTAAACTTAAAGCATAATTTGTTTTTATAAAAAAAAAAATCATTACAATTGTTTTAGTGGCTTTTGAGAAAACTCAATTTAAATTCATTAAAATTACAACAGGTTATGGTGATATTATATGAAATATTAAACATGTGCCCATCGACTAATGTCTAATGACAGTCAAAAAACTATATAATACTTTGCTTTATTAGAGCAATTCTAACAATTAATTTCTTATAGTCCTCATCAACACATCTAGTTAGGCTAAAAGTTTTAAAGCTTTAGCTTCCCTAAAAGGCTGTGAAAAATCAATAGCAAGATTATACTACAAAAAAAATTTTCCTTGGTTCCTTGGTGGTCTAAAAGTTACTGAAAAATTTTAGAACAACTCACAAACAGGGGGATGGTTGAAAGCCACCCTGGTATTTTCAGCCCTGGAATCAATTTTATAATGCAATTTTATGGGGACTACACTAATGATTAAAGTCTCAGAGCTAGTCTGAAAGATAATAAAAATCCAATTTCAAAATTTCATGACAACAAAAAAACAACATGTTAATTTAAATAAAAGGTTGTAAATAAAAAATACTGGTATAGAATACAAATAAAAAATACTGTATAAATAACCATAGCCAATCCTCAGTTATTATTATAAATATTTAGTTTTTAATAACAAATAATAAGCAATATAAAAATGTTAACAAGTTAAAATATAAAAAGAAATAAACTTTTAAAATTTCTGTAATGTTATTTTCATTTAGGCTGATGAATCAGATGAAACAATGCTGGATCAAGAAGAAATCATGCCTGATCAAGAAGAAATGACTCAAACTGAAAACCATTCAGTTAGTTTATTACTAACATAATATAACTTGATGATTTTTATTTATAACAAAATTGCATTTTGTGATTGAATAATACTATACCTATAATATAGATATTGTCAGGTATAGTCCAAATCCTCCTAACTAGCATTGGCTACAATAATACCCAATTAATAATTTTAACACCAAATATCTATTGTTGACATTACATAAAACATGAATTAGACTTTCTATGCTAAAATGAACCCAAAATCTTGTGAAATAAAAAAAAATGTAAAGTTTTAACCTTCTCCAGTAAAAAATCTGTAGTTCATATACACGCTGTATAATGCTAAGTACTCAGATATGCACTATCCCCAACAATTTTAGTAAATGAATGTAATCAAAGTAAAATAACAAAGTAAAAATTGTTTTATCATCTGTAAGAATATTAATAAGAAGTTTTTTTCACTACTTTGGTCGTTTTACACTTTTAATTAAAGAAAATAAAAACAATTACATTTTTTTTTAAGTTAACCAAAAATATTTGAAACTTTTTAGCTTCAACCAAAAGATTCATCAGAGTATGCAGAACAAGCCCCAGATAATAATATGCTATCTAATTCAAAGTCTCAAATGGAACAAGTTCAAGAAAATGAAAAACATGAAAACAGCAATGGTAATGCAGATAGCACTGGTTTAAAGGGAAATTTAAGTTCAAATGATAGTCTCACCAAACAACGTTCTACCCAAACTAAAGTAATATTTAATTTATAATTTTTAATTATAAAAGTGTACCGATTCGGTAAATATAAATTTAAAAATGAAGAATTATTTGCACTGTAATGTAATGATTTGTTACAATCATAATTCATTTTATGCAACCACCAAATGGTAGCCATAGGTAAATTTATTTCATAAATAAAAATTATTTTACATAAGGACTTTCATCACTAACATCTTTTAAACCTTTTATCACACCCAACATGTATTGAAAATGAATGAATAAAATTATGTTAACAGGCTAAATAAAATAGGCTAAAAATAACAGGCTAAATAAAATAAAAATGTCTTATTTTGAAGTTTATATTATCCAAAAAAAAAAAAAAGATGCATAAAGATGAGATGGCAGAGAATATACTTAATAAAACATAGAAACAAGGTTGACAATCTTATTTATATATATATATATATATATATATATATATATATATATATATATATATATATATATATATATATATATATATATATATATATATATATATATATATATATATATATATATATATATATATATATATATATATATATATATATATATATATATATATATATATATATATATATATATATATATATATATATATATATATATATATAAGAATTATATTATAAAAGAATACTTTATTAATTATTTTTATTGAATTGTTTTAAACAAGTTTCGATGTATTCTAAATATTTTTATTGGTTGGATAAGGGTCAAAAACGAAAAGGCATTCCACAAAGCAATGAAAATCGCACTGAGGAGACAGCTGAGTCTGTAGAAGTAAAGAAAAGAAAAGCGTTTGATGCAGAAGAAAATGAATCTTCAGCTGATGAAGGAGTAATGAAATTTCTATATAAAATTTATTCGAAAAAATAACTAATAAAATTTCTTATTGTTATTAGGTTTTTTATTTAGGGATTTCTGTTCCTTAAAATACCTGTGTGATGTTTAGTAATTTTTTTCACATTTAATTTGTGTTTAAGTAAAGCATGTCTTGAAACTTTTTTTTATTAAGACAATTTTGTTTAATGTAAACCACTTTTAGCATTGATTTAAATCTAATTTTAAATATGGTTAAAGGGGAGGGGGGATGAAGAGGTTAGACAGTTCTTGATGTGAGGATGACTGGAATTTATAAAAAATATTAAAATCTTTCGCTTTTATTATTAGTTATTGTGTATTAATTTTATTATATCATTGTTATAATTGTTGAATCTATTATAGCCAATTTTAAAGTATTTTATATTTTTTTAGGGAAAAGAAAATGATAATGAATCTTATCAACATATAAAAGATAATAAATCAAGTTATGATCAACTTATAGTTGATAGTGCGACCCAGTCACAAATCAAAGATAAATTACAAAAAATAACAATTGAAGATAGCTCATCTGGGATTGAGGAGGAAGATGAATCAGCTATAGATGATAGTTCTAAAAATAAAAATGCTAAGGTTAGAAGTTTTTGTAATTTTCTGTAACAAAAAACAGATATTCTTGTATTCTTTAATAAGTTAGATGTATGTCTTGATTAAAAAACCATTTATAAGATATTTGTTTATACTTAAGATAGATATTTATTAAACACTTAATCCCTCATCTTAAATCTAATTATCTTACTTTCTGATCAATATGGATTTTGATCTTCTTGTTCTACAGCTGATTTGCTAACAGTAATAACTGATAGATTTTATTGTGGATTAGATAGAGGTGGAGTTTAAGTTTAACAGTAATAACTGATAGATTTTATTGTGCATTAGATAGAGGTGGAGTTTAAGTTTAACAGTAATAACTGATAGATTTTATTGTGCATTAGATAGAGATGGAGTTTAAGTTTAACAGTAATAACTGATAGATTTTATTGTGCATTAGATAGAGGTGGAGTTTAAGTTTAACAGTAATAACTGATAGATTTTATTGTGCATTAGATAGAGGTGGAGTTTAAGTTTAACAGTAATAACTGATAGATTTTATTGTGCATTAGATAGAGGTGGAGTTTAAGTTTAACAGTAATAACTGATAGATTTTATTGTGCATTAGATAGAGGTGGAGTTTAAGTTTAACAGTAATAACTGATAGATTTTATTGTGCATTAGATAGAGGTGGAGTTTAAGTTTAACAGTAATAACTGATAGATTTTATTGTGCATTAGATAGAGGTGGAGTTTAAGTTTAACAGTAATAACTGATAGATTTTATTGTGCATTAGAGGTGGAGTTTAAGTTTAACAGTAATAACTGATAGATTTTATTGTGCATTAGAGGTGGAGTTTAAGTTTAACAGTAATAACTGATAGATTTTATTGTGCATTAGATAGAGGTGGAGTTTAAGTTTAACAGTAATAACTGATAGATTTTATTGTGCATTAGAGGTGGAGTTTAAGTTTAACAGTAATAACTGATAGATTTTATTGTGCATTAGAGGTGGAGTTTAAGTTTAACAGTAATAACTGATAGATTTTATTGTGCATTAGATAGAGGTGGAGTTTAAGTTTAACAGTAATAACTGATAGATTTTATTGTGCATTAGAGGTGGAGTTTAAGTTTAACAGTAATAACTGATAGATTTTATTGTGCATTAGAGGTGGAGTTTAAGTTTAACAGTAATAACTGATAGATTTTATTGTGCATTAGAGGTGGAGTTTAAGTTTAACAGTAATAACTGATAGATTTTATTGTGCATTAGAGGTGGAGTTTAAGTTTAACAGTAATAACTGATAGATTTTATTGTGCATTAGAGGTGGAGTTTAAGTTTAACAGTAATAACTGATAGATTTTATTGTGCATTAGAGGTGGAGTTTAAGTTTAACAGTAATAACTGATAGATTTTATTGTGCATTAGAGGTGGAGTTTAAGTTAATAACTGATAGATGGAGAGTTTAAGGCTATTACTCTTGAGATTTCTAAAGCTAAAGTTTGGCATGCTAGTCTTCTCCATAAGCTTTCTTCTTACGGTGCATCTGGTAACATCTTTAAGATTATTGAATCTTTCTTTTAGTATAAAAGTTGTCCTCAATGGACTGCACTCTTCTTTATTTCTGGTAACTTCAAGGGTTCCTCAAGGTTATCCTTGGCCCCATACTTTTTTTAATTTACACTAATGATTTTTCGGAAATTCTCACATCCAAGGTGGCATTGTTTGCTGATTACACTACCATTTATTCCTGTCTTGATAAGAAGCCAACACTCTCTGATTGCTTGGAGGGGGCATTTGAGCTTGAAAAGAATCTCACTTCTGCTACAGCATGGAGCTCTCAGTGGCTGGTGAACTTTAACTCAGATTAATTTTTTTTCAACTTATCACTATCACAATAATCTAGATTTTTCTGTATTTATGAATGGTAATGTACTCAATAAGTCATCTACCCTTCATCTTCTAGGATTAACTCTTACTTCCAAATTTTCTTGGAAACCATATATCAAATCCATTGCAAAATTACCATCTGCTAACGTTTCTCTTTATTGTGCTCGCCATTTTCTTATTCAGAATTTTATTCTTTATTTCTATAAATCTCAAATCCATTCTTGTATGGAATACTATTGCCATATCTGGGGCGGATCTTCTAATGATGCCCATTATCTTTTAGACAAGTGCAAAAACACATTCTAAACATAGTTGGACCTTCTCTTGCAACCAACCTCCAACCATTATCGCATCGTTGTAATGTTGCTTCTCTTTCTCTTTTCTATAAATACTATAATGGGCACTGCTCTAAAGAGCCATTTACTAAAATTCATTCTTGTGTTATTCATCATTCAATTAATTCTCATTGTTTTACTGTGACTGTTCCTAAAGTGCTCCAAAATATATTCCTTTAGTTTTTTTCCTTAAACATCAGTCCTTTGGAATTTGCTTCCTTCATCTTGTTTTCCTGATTCATATAATTTGCAATCCTCTAAGTCATCTGTCAATCTTGCTTTATGTTATTATTTAGTTATCTTGCTTTAAAAATTTCGTCTCTTCCCCTAACTTCAAACTCTAATTGTGATTGCTTGTAACTTTGTTGAAAGTGAAGAAAAAAAAGTTTATGTACTCATTTACTACAACATTGATCAAAATGCAGTATTAAAAAAATCTTTTAGCATAAAACTTTGTACTAATTTTTAAAAATTGTATGATGAATTTTTTTATTTTAATTTTTAAAGATTTCAGATGTAAATGAGATGTTAATTGACCCCGAGTTAAAAGACGATGAGATGGAAGAAAAAAATTTAAAAGAAACTACTGATCCTGATTCACAAAAAACAGATGAGCTTACAATCTATAAAGACTATAAAACAGATTTTTTTACTGATGAAAATGCATTATTTTCTACAGATTTGGAAGTAAGTTCGTTAAATGACTTTATTTTTTTTTTTTTTTTTTTGTTTTGTTTGCATCACATGAATTTTTTCTGGATTTGCAGCTTATTAAAATGGGTTTGTATTTCAAAAGATAGCTCAGAAATTACTTTTAGGGTTTTTATTTTTAAGAAGAAGAAAATTTTGGATAATTATAGCGATCCTCCCAACTTTCTATGGTCTTGAGCAACAGATAATTTTTATATTTGAAATACAATGTCATTTTATTACACAGAACATATTTAGACAGAATGCAGTGAAATTTTCAAAAAAATTTTGGGGGTTAAAATACAAAAAATTGTTTATTGGTTTTTTTTAGACTGTGTATTTATACAATTAATGGCGTAGTGTATATATGTTTTGATGATAATTTTTTATATTTTCACTAAATTTTAGTTTTGTTCCTTCTTAATTCCAGGAATAATAAAAATATTATTTTTTTAGCAATAAGATGGCTTGCATTTTAAAAACTTTTTTTACCTCATTCTAATGTTTTTTTCAACTAATTTTTTTATTTTTATATTTATTAAATAATTTAGTTAATTGTTAAATAAATAATATAAAATTTTTTAAATATAATCAAAGATGGTTTTAAGGGGGGCTTTCACACTCTTTTTCCTTCTTCCCTCTCCCACCTCCTCAGCTCCGTTTTCTTTCTTTTTAACAAAAAACATAATTTTGAACTTATATTTAGCCCTTTTTTTAATCATTTTAATGAAACAATACAAAAATAGTTATAAAATTGTTTTTTTTTTTGTGAATAAATATGTCATCGAATATGAAAATTTGATGAGCACTATCAAGTGTGAGAGCTACAAATTGTTTAAAAATCTTGAATAAATAAGTTGGATACTTGTAATGTTAAGATAATAGTTATTTAAAGTTACTTTTTTTTTTTTGCCATTGGAATGCATTTCATTTTGTATGTTTTTTTATTTTTTATTTTTTATTTTCTGTGTTTTCGTTTAGATTTATTTTTTGCATTTTATATTACATAATAATCGAGCAAAAAAAAATTTAGTACTAAATTAATTTTTTTCTTTTTTTAATTTGAAAAAGAAACAGTTTTAAAATTGAGATTTGCCATCCATGTTGAAATTACATCATGTAAGAAATTTTTAAAGAATAACTAAATAAAAAACATCAATATATATTTTAATATCAAAAAAATTATATTTTGTGTGGGACTTTTATTATAGCAAAAAAAAAAAAAAAAATTTAATTTTTTGTTGCATAAAATTAAATTTATATATGTATTGTAATTTAGAAAAAAGAAAAAACATTAGAACTATTGCGTAGTGAACTAGAAAATGGTTTATTCAGTTTGTCTCTGAAACGATCTCAGATTAAAGATCCAAAGCAAGCTTTAGATATGTGGATGAAATATGATCGCTTAACCTCTAACCTTGCTCAACAATTATGTGAACAACTTAGGCTTGTGCTTGAACCTACATTAGCCAGCAAAATGAAGTAAATTTTTTTTTTTTTTAATGTTTATTTTATTAAAATTTTTAAATACTAATAATGAAAATAACAATAATATAATCAACTATTTATATGTACATGTAGTATAAATACAAATAATAATTGATATGATGTAAATTTTTTTTTAAGGATTGTTCAATAAATGAAGAAACTGTTTCAGTAGTTTTTTAAAAAAAAAAATTAAGCATGAATGATTTGCATTCTTTTAATAGAACAAATTTGATTATAACAGGGGATAATTAACAGAACAGAACAGAACAGGGGATAGTTAATTTAGTAATAGTTAAAATAGTTGATTTGTAATAAAACTCTCGAACTCAATACTTAAACCTCTTGGGAAATATCTTCATGATTAAAGGTTTCAAAGAAGTCTGGTAAACAGATTTTGTTTTTCTGTTGATAATATATAACATCTCATAGATTTGGCAAAGGAGATCAAACACATACATAAAGTCTTTTTTACAAGTTTTTTTTAGTCAAATTTACTAATATTCTCCTGGTTATGTTTACTATCAGCTTAAAATGTTGTTTTACTATTTAGCAAATCAGGGCTGGGATTGGGATTAATACAGTAATGTTCAGGCTAGGTGGGAAACCTGGGTTAGATAAATATGATAAATCTTTTTTTTTCGGTACTACTTAGGAAGGATGGAGAATTTATAATTAAAACTTTTGTCTTTATTATCACCATTATTATTGTTTTAACATCAATTTCTTTCCTGTTGCATAGGTTGTGCAGCTTCCAGTAATGCTACTATTTGGATACTCGCAATCTTGCTTATTTTCTCTCCATGTTGTCTTTTAAGCTATAAAACTTTAATTTTATGGCTTTTTAAAGTTTTAGTCTTCATGTTGCCTTTTTGGCACTTTTTCCAACCTTTTGTACTTCTGCATCCACTTTTTCCAGAAAAAGAAATAAGCAATCATCTCAAAAACTACATTGGTTACAAATGACCTACATTTTCATGCTTGTTATGCTTTAATTTTTGATCCAATCTCCAAATTGACAACTTCCAAATAATCATGGCATCCTATTATCATAATAACAATCTTTTTTTACCCCAAAATCCTGCTGTTTAACCAAATTTAATATTACAATTTTTTGGGAAAAGGAATTTTCTGGAAGCTATTTTATTACTTAGTAGTAACATATCCCTAATAATTCTAATTGCTCATAGTTTTTCAATTTTGAAATTTGAGGTTATGAAAAAAGGGGTTTCCAGATTACAAAATTAAGAACAGTTAGTTTTTTTTTTTTTTTTTCAATTTTGATTCACTCTCAACAAAGCTGCAAGCAACCACTGTAATGTTGGGAGTTACTAGAAAACAAAAAATGAATATAAAGAGCAAGGAAATAGTTGACAGAAGACTTCAGTAGTTAAAGGTTGTATGATTCAGGAAAACAAGAAAATAGGACAGAGTTCCAAAGGGTTTAATATACTGTAAATAAAATTAGACGAATAAATAATAATAGTTTTTAGAGTATACAGATAAAGTAAAAGGATGAAACTTTGCTGAATGATGAGTCAAGCAAAAGCAAGTTTTGGTTGATGGAGCTAGAGATGATGGAGCTAGAGATGATAGCTCCTTTGAGCAGCGATCACAAGAGTAGTTGTAAAAAAGAGATAGAGAGATGAAAAACTTTTCAATGAAAATAAAAAAAAACTTTTCAATGAAAGGAGAGAGGCTCAGGCTTGAAAAATAGAGTAGATCGAATTATTTTTACAGAGCGATTTTGGACTTATTAAAAGAAGCATCCCAAATATGACAACATTATTCCATGCAGGGGTGAATAAGAGATTTGTGTATTTAGAGAATGGAATTAGGAAGAGGACTCGATGAGAGGGTTGCCATACTTTAGTATAGGAATGTCCACAGTATTGCTATAGTTGCTTGCAGTAAATATCTGAGTTTTTCTGAATTCAAAATCCACAAGCCACCGCAAACCTCAATCTGTTATAGAAGTGAGATCAGATTCAAGATCGGCTGTCCATCCTAAACAATTAAAAAGAGAAGAAAAATTGTCAAGACAGGAGTATAAAGTTGAGTCATCAGCAAATAGAGCCACTTTAGATGTTAGTTTGTCAGGAAGATCATTAATGTAGATAAGGGGCAAAAAAAGACTAAGGATAAAACCTTGAGGTGTACCCCAGAAGTTGCTGGAGATAAAAAAGAGTGTTGCCTTTTGAGGGTGACTTTAATAAAGCAGTTAGAAAGAAATGATTTAAAAATCATAAAAAATTTCCCAGATAAACAAAAACTAAAGTTTATATAAATTTGTATAGATATTGTACGCCAGGATCTAAATAAATTGCAAATGTATATGTTTATATTATATTATATTCATATTGTGCCTCTAACCTAACCATAAAATATCCTATTATATGCATAAATGTGCCTCTAACCTAACCTCCTAGATCCAAGCAGGTACGGAAACTTTTATTACTTCTCGATGGTTTTAAGTCAAGTCCAATTCTACTTCTTGTTTTTCACTTTCTTGCGCAGTTGCTATAACAAACTGTTATCATTTTTTCATCTTTTTTACAAGAATATCTCTCTTGAGAATAAAAGCAGAATGTTATTGCAAAATATCAGTTCGCCTGATGCTAGGCTCCGTTGCCCTTAGTTTACTAAATCTTGAGTTAGATGTTAGATTCTGAGACTTTTGGAAAATGACTAAAGTAAGTTTAACGTTGCAGCTTAATTCATGGGTCTGATCTTATTACTTTTCCCCAGAATAAGGTTATTTGCAAAGAACTTTTCCTCTAATTTGACTCTTGAATCTAATGGCCATGCTCTTCCAGCCATTCTAATTCAACAGATGAACCTATTGTTAGATATCCAAATCATTCTGAGTTTTAATACTAATGTCATTTCTCAATTTTAAATTTCTACGACTTTTTTTAGCTCATTTAAATAGAAATGTTATGATGAGCTTTTTTTAGCTCATCATAACATTTCTATCGTAGTCTTACTCGTTTTTTCAGAATTTTCTATAATCGGTTATATTATACAAGTTGACTTTATCTTAATTAAAAAGCAAGATACAAACTAGGTGAGTAACATCAGAGTAATAAAAAATGAACCTTTACACAGCACAAATTAGTTATTTGAGAAATTTTCACTTTTAAAATTTTTATTTTTTGGGCAGAAAATTTAGAGATAATGATTTTAAGAAAGGAATAATAACAAAAATCATTTTCAAATAGTTAAACTATAATTAAGTGCTAAATTATTCCAATATTCAAAAATTCTAGAAAACACTCTGGCTTTACCTAGGATACTTGGAGAAGTTAGAGTCAAATTAGTCTTTTAGTTAGAGTCAAATTAGTAATTTTATAAATATTTTATAATTAAAATAACAATTTTCCTGACAATTTTATATCTCAAGTGGTTCTATTCACTGACAACTCATGTTTATGCAAAAAGTTTTTAATTGCTTAAAATTAAAGATTGGGTAAACACCCTTTTATCTGATCTCTCTTATGTAACAGCTTGCAGTGGTTTGTGGATTTTAACTCCAACAAAACTCAGTTATTTACTACAAAATATTCTTACAATAATATTTTACTACAATATTCTTGACATTCCATATATTGACAAATAAAAGTTGTAAATGTAGCTGGACCTGCTTTATCTGCCAAGCTTGAGCCAATCTCCCAACGTTGAAAATGTTTCATCTCTTTCTTTTTTTCTATTAATATCATGGTCACTACTTCCAACAAGCAATCACCTAGTTTGATCAACCAAAACTCATTCTTGCTTAGCTTGTCATTTAGTAAAGTTGCATCCTTTTACTGTATGTCCCTCCATGCTATAAAATTTTTTTAAATCTAGTTTACTTCCTTGTGCATCAACAAAATGTCAAAAGTCTCACCCATCTTCATGTTATCCGATTCATACAACCTACATTGCATTGTTTAGATTCTATTATTATGTTATGGTATTGGTTTATAAATGTTGTTTAATAAATTTATGTATAAGATACTTTACTGAATAAAGTACTAATAATATTTCAATAAGTAAAATCAAGAAGCTTTAGAAAGCAAGAATAAATTAAAGGTAAGAAATTCTATAGATTCTATATATAGAATTCTTTTTTTCTTTACAAACTTAGAGGCGATTATCGAACAGGGAAGCGTATAAACATGCGTAAAGTAATCCCATATATTGCAAGTCAATTTCGTAAGGATAAAATTTGGCTTCGTCGCACCAAAAAAAGCAAGCGAAAGTATCAAATTGTTCTTGCCGTTGATGACTCTTCGAGTATGGCTGATAATCATTCTAAACAGGTAATTTTTTTTTTTTTTCAAAAGATGGTCTTTTAAAAAACTTCTGTTGCACAATATTTTGTAATTGTGTAACTGTAGAGTAATTGTGGCAATGTTATCCAATTTTTGCTATTGTAATCTATTAAATTTTCATTGGATGCTCAGCTTGAATAATTAAGTTATTTTAATATGACTTATATTATAATATATAATAACTTTAAAATCATAATAATTAAAACTAATAATTTTAATATTAAATCTAGCTTGAAATTGGATTTAATCTTGAAATTATAGTTTCACGGCTGTTTCATTCAATATAAAAACAAGCTTGACATCATGAGTTAATCAAAATAAAAGTATTTCCGCATAAAAAGTATAAAAATTCACTAACTTTAAAATATAAGTTTTTTTTTTTTTCTATTAACGCTTTCATCTTCAAATTAAAAAAATATAAAAGATCTATCTTTCCTTCTTAAATAGTTACATTAAACAGAATAAAAATTAATATTGTTAAAATAATTCCAATGATTTGTGATCATCTTTCTGTTTTTTGTGATTTTTACGAAAACTGGGAATACTAAGACTGCTTAACTTATGTTTATGCATAAAACAATTATCAATGAATGTTTAATCTTTCTAAATCTTTTCTTTCACAAAAGGTCTATTTTTAATGCATTTATATTATAAAAGTTATTATTTTTAAATGCCAAACATAATATTTTTGATGAATGACATAAGTTATTAAAATTTCAACCTTTTATGCATATTAAAATCATTAAAAAATTTTATGTTCTTCTAGCTATATGTTCAGGTAAGGCAATATGTTTTCAAACTTGTCATGTTTAGCAAATTTCTCTGGTTTTTTGCGTAAATTTGTGTTTACATTTCTAAAGCGATGACGTAAAACATAAAAGGCTAAAACATTTTCTATAATATTATTTTGAGATTTTGATGTCTGATCTTTAATAATCCCATTTCATATCACATTTTGTTTAAGTAAATTTTTTTGATTTATAACGGTCTAACAATGTTTATATTTGAAAATATCTAAAAGATCTTTTTTCGTTTTTTTTTTTTTTTTTTTTTTTTTTTTTTTTTTTTTTTTTTTTTTGTGGATAAAAATTAACAATAAATTATAGAAATTTAGCTATGTTCGTCATTTGCATGTTTATTTAAAAATCTAAGGAGGTTTTGATTAATTCCTTAAATGTCATAAGATACAAAATTGTATTGATGTTATTAATCTTTTTACAAAACAAAATTATCTCTAGTATTTCTAAAGATATAAAAGTTTTAGTAACACTCTTTAAGTGGTTATTTTCAAAAAATAACAAGAAGCCGTAAAGCTCTCTTTGAAACAGCTGTGAACTTAGCAGTGATGGTAAGGGGTTTTTATTAATTATTTAAATGTTTGTGGTTTCATATCTATCCTTGGATGGATATTAAAAATACACATTATACATGAAAAGCTTGGTGTAAATGTTATACCTAGACATTATACATGGACATATAAGGATAGATGTGGAATCACAAACATTTAAATAAAAAATAAAAAACCCCTTTCCATCGCTGCTAAGTTCACAGCTATTTCAATGCGAGTTTTACGGCTTCTTGTTATTTTTGTATTTTTTAAATATTTTAACAAAAAATTGAAAATAATAAAGACTGCAGCAAAAAATGCACATCTTTCAGTCAAATTTTTATAGTCAATTTAAGAATCACACATTTAAAAAAAAACAACCATAAAATGCTTAAGTTGTTATATGTTAATTTTACTTGCATTACTTTTGTGAAACAACAAAAAGTAGATGTTTTCTGAGTTAGCTTGTCTTTTGAGCTTGTGTATAACATATTTCTAGCTTTTACTTCTCTCAACTACGATGTAAAATATTCACAAATACAAAGAATAAATTTTTTTTAGATTAACAAGTTTCATTGTACATTATTTTTGTAGAGTGTTTTAAAGAAACAAAGATTTTTTATGTGTAAAGATTGCATACAAAGATGATTTTAGGGGAAGGCATGTGGGGGAAGGGGGTGTTCTACCCCCACAAATAAGGTGATTTTAAAGTTATAGTCAATTTTTTTGACAAATTTAGTTGGCTTGTTGCCCCTGATTATCCCCCTTTCCCCTTCCTTACTTTTTATAATTTATTGATTTATAAAGTCAGAGGTGCCCTAGCAAGGTTGTGGCAAGTGAGGCTTAAGTCTTAAAAAAACACTTATTTAAACATTGCGGGTGAATGTATGACCTTGAAATCATTAGTTATTTATTTCTATGGCTTACTATATTTTTAAACAGTTCAATTTAGCAAAAAAAAAATTTCTTAACTTTTTGCCTTTTCATAATCAATAACATTATTAAACCAAGGAAAAATTGTAAAAATACTATAAATATTCAATCAAATCTTTTTATATATAATTTTACAGTTTTCAGGCCAATATAAAAGGTATTGACAAATGCCCCTTTAGGGATGGAGGTGCAAATTATATTAAGTCTTAAACAAAGCATGCTATGGCAATGAACATCAATATGCTTAGGATAACATGATAAAACTGTTTTAGAAAAAAAAAATTTTGAATTTTTGAATTACCAAAAAAAGATTTTTTTAAAAGGGGCTTTCTAAAAAATTTTTAATGTGCTTCAAAATATTTTTGCATAAAGTTGTCCATAACATCTGCCTAATTAAGACATAAAATTTTACCTATTAATTATAAAATAACCAATCTTTTTTTGAAAATTTCTAAAATTTCTGGAAAATTTTTTGAGTTATTTAAAATTGATTTTTGAATTTGTTTCAACCTATATTTTAGTGACTGTCATATTAAAAGTTATCATTTTTTTTTTAGCTTGCTTTTGAGTCAATAGCAGTTATCAGTAATGCATTAAAGCTTTTAGAAGCAGGTGAACTTGCTCTTTGCAGGTATTCAAATATTTGATAAAGTTATAAAATCAATAATTATCAGCTTTTGTTGTTGTCAACATCAAAACAATTCAACATTATAAAAAAATGTTTTTTTATATATGTTAAAAATTTATTTTATGTTATGTTATAAAAAAAAATTCAAATACGAAAAAATATTTTTTGTAATTTTTTTTTCTTACTTTAGCTTTGGCGAAGATGCTCGATTAGTGCATCCATTTGAAGAAACATTCAGTGAACTATCAGGAGCTTCAATTCTTCAAGAATTTTCATTTGAACAAAAGAAAACAAATATATCTCAACTTTTAAATATGTGTACACTTTTACTTAACAGCATTTCTAGAGATATTGTTGACATTAACATATCAAAGCTTCTTCTAATTATTTCAGATGGAAGAGGAATTTTTTTGGAAGGTAAAGAGGTAAGTTAACTGGAAATTTTTAAAAGTTACCTAAAAACATTATAGGTAAGTTGTCTAACCAATTTAATAATCAATATTTTGAATAACAAAATTTTTTAAGCTAATTTCACCTGTTACTTATCAGTTAAATCTTATATATATTTGTCAATTCTGATTGATTGCTTGATTGTATGTTCCCAGTTAACAGCCAGACCGTTGGTCCTAGAAACTTGAAATTTGGCATGGATGATCCCCATGACCCAGGGAGTAACATAGGCTATGTCAAGTTGACCTCAAAGGTCACTGGAGGCTGCCCGGGGTCACGGGGTAAATTTAAATGGTCATTTCTAGGTCAGGGGGGTTGGATAGACTATTCCTTGTAAAGTGCAGAGTTGTTCCTTGCCCCTGGGGGTGGGGGTGCAGATGACCTCGGGTTTGAGCTTGATTACACATTACAATTACTCACATAATTATATATATATATATATATATATATATATATATATATATATATATATATATATATATATATAATTATGTGTGTATGGTGTATATAAAATCCCTGGATGGAAGAAATTTTAGTGTTGTGTATCAAGTGGCTCCGCAGCGGTTTTTTTATAGTACCCAGGATTGAGAGTTTTTTAGTCAAGTAATTGATTTTTGGAGGGTGAGTTTTCTTTGTACAACAGCAACTTTGATTTGTTTTGCCGGTGTCCAGTGACACGGGCACCTCTGCTAGTAACCAATATTAAAAAAAAAAAGATAAAATAAAAATAATTTTTAAAAGTCCTTAAGCGATTTACATCCTGTTTTATGATTGTTGTGGTTAGTTTTTCTATTTTTTTTTGTTATCAATCCTACACTTTGAAATCAACGTTTTATAACAGAGAATTATTCTGTATTAAAACACTTTATCACTGAGTAACTCTCTAGGATTGCTATAGGATTAATATTGTGCTTTTATGAGAATAAACTAATATTAGGAAAAAAAATTATCAACAATATTATGTACCGTTAGATCCTATAGAATTTTTATAAGTCATATACAATTTTTTCTTAATACTATAAAATAAAGATTTTTTCTATACTCGTGAGATGATTATGTAGTTTACTAGATCTACAGGATACCTATAGGAATTAATATCCTTAATCAAAAGGTCCTATAGGATCTTTTGACTAGGGTTATTAGTATATATATCCTATAAAAAATAAGACATTCCTGTATGAAACTGGAATATCTCGTAGGATAAAAATATAAACTCCTAATGAACTACATTGTGTATAGACCAATAATGTTAATATATTATTTATGGCGTTTGGAACATTGAGTTTTATTGAATTTTTATAGGTCAAAATTTTATTAAATGCAATTTTTAAATCTGAACTAGATCTACAGGTTCTAGTTCAACGTGTAAACATTTTTAGATCTAGTTCAACGTGTAAATATTTTTTAATGCTGAATAAACTTTTTGCAGCCATAATAAGTCTATAGCAAAATTAGCTTATGGCAAAATAATATAAAAATTAACCCAAACGTTATATTAAAAAAAATATTTTCATCTTATGCAGTATTTATAAACCAAATGGTTCTCGTTATTACAAGTAATTTATTTTTACAGACAATATTAAAACTATTAGTATTCATATTTTTTTTGTTGAAATTTGTTTGTGGTTAATTGAAATTTGTTTGTGGTTAATTGAATTTGTTTGTGGTTAACTGAAATTTGTTTGTGGTTAACTGAAATTTGTTTGTGGTTAACTGAAATTTGTTTGTGGTTAACTGAAATTTGTTTGGGGTTAACTGAAATTTGTTTGTGATTAGGAATTTAATTTGCGTTAGTTAAGCTCTAAGTGTGATTTGTTTTATATAAAATCTTTGTTTTTACAAGATTTTTACCATTTTACATAGTTTAGTGGGTCAAATTGTTTTTAACTGATTAAATGAAGTTTTTTTGTGGTCCAAGTATGTTCATAAGTTTATAATTTGTAACATCCAATAGTATTTAAATAAACTTGGCATAATTGTGGCTTTTAAACATAATAATCATGAGTTCTGGCTCTTTTAAGATTTTCAATGAGTTCCTTTAAAAAGTATAAAAAACAGTTAAAAATATTTTCAAGCTGATCTTAGTATTTAAATTTTACAGTATAGTAAAAACATGTTTATAATTCTTAATCGGTTAACATCACATTACAATATATGTAAATGTATAAATTATTTAAATTGGTTAACATTACATTACAATATATGTAAATGTATAAATTATTTTTAGAATTAAATAAATGTTTACATTGTAATATAAAATGTTTATAATGATCTTTAAAATCTTTATGATGATCCTTAAATGTTTATAACAATCTTTAAAAGGAAAGGTTTTGTCATGATTTATATATACATCATGACAAAACGACATCATACATGCATACATACAATTTATAGACGAAATACAATATTAATGCAATTGTCCTTCACGATTATAAAGGACATAACCTATAGGACATATAACAAAAAACTATTAAATAAATGTGTTACTTTTTCTATTATAATATAAGATTTTAGAACTAGAACTATTAGTAGGTATCCTACCTACCAACTATTAGTAGGTATATACCTACCAATATTGCATGAGTTATCTAAGAAGGAAATTAAATTTGTTTTAAATCTTAATGTCTGTCATTTTTAGTCAGTAGCCGTTTTATATAAGTGATTCATAATAAAGTTTGCATAAGAATAGAAATTCTGTTTTAATTCATTAGTAATGAGCTGATCAAACAAATCCAATTTCACATAATGCGCTGGCAATGTCATCGCAGCTGTTACATTTTTGTTAACTACTGAGTTTGAGATTTTTTATTTAGGGTTAGTTTTTTTACCAGCTTTAGGGTTAGAAATAAGTATTAACTGCTAAACTTTAATGGGTTAGTTTTTTTAGTTTCTGCTGATATAGGTTTTTTGTTAAAGTGGTCCTTTTTCCTTAACAACGAGTTGTGCGTTTCGTTTGTGTACTCAAATTTATATTAGATTTACTAAAATTAACTCTCTGAAATATGAGTATTAGAGTTTCCATTATTTCAAAAAACAAAAATTTGATTTTTTTTCTTTCATTAGATTATTAATCTGATAATTATTTATTACATTATTAATATGGTTACACATCGTGATTACATCATATTAATGTAATAAATAGTTATTTATTATATTTATTAACATGATTACCAGGGATTATTTTTCCGGATATTTTTCTCAACTTTTAGTTTTTCCGGATATATAAATTAATATATAAAATATATTCCGGATATTTTACCCAAACAATTTTCTGGATTTTAAAAATATGACTTAGACGATCTATAGATTACACATGACAACAAACTGATTTAATTAAATCTTATTCGAATATTAATTGAAGTTTTTGGACATCTTTGTTTTTTGACAAGGCCTGTACATGAAGTAAGTTAAGCGTAAGTTAGATATTATTTAGAAAAAGAGTTGCCTTCACTATTTACACAGAAATACCTCAGAATCAAATCACACCTTTCTCCCCTATTTAAAAAATATTAAAAGATTTAGTGAAAATTGAAATACATTAGTTATTATATTTTTTTATGTTATTTAATTTTAGGAAATACATTTAGGTATTGTTATTTTGCTTATTATACCTCCTAAACATTTAACGAGTCCCTAATAAAGGGTGTCCCAAAATTAACACAGGATTTAAAATTACCACCATTTATGTAGTAAAGTGCTGTCAACGCTAAAAAAAAACAAGTCTACAGCTGACAGTTTAGGGTTAGAAAAAAAGGAGTGTTACACAATAAAACAAAGTGTCTTCATTATTGAACAATATTTCGAAAATAATGAAAACTTGGCGGCTGCAGTTAGAAAATTTCATACAAAGTATGGTTAGAATAGTGTTTTAACTTCGAGATTAATTGACACCAAACACGTTGGTCGTGTCTAATGACAATGCACAGCGAAGAGAGTGTGTTGAATGGGATATTGAGCATCAACAAATGGATGCTGATTTTTTAAGCAAAATTAACTTAAGTAGCGAAGCACTTTTTCACCTTGATGGGTTTGTTAATCGCCAAAATTGCTGCTTTTGGGGCTCTGAGAACCCACATGTGATTGTCAAAAAATAAATGTATCCACAACGTGTCACTGTTTGGTGTAGATTATAGACTAGAGGCATCATTGGACCATACTTTTTTGAAATTAGGCTGGTCAAGAAGTGACTGTTACTTGTGCTCGATATCGCAACACGATAACCCAGTTCTTTTTGCCGAAATTGGTTAATATTGATGTGACCAATATGTGGTTTCAACAAGTCGGTGCCTTACAGCACGTGAGACACTTCAATTACTGCATGAGACATTTCCAGGTTAAGTATTCTCTCATTTCGGTGATCAGAATTGGCCCCCAAGATCGTGCGATTTAACATGATTAGATTTCTTTTTATGGGGTTATTTAAAATCACAGGTCCATGTCAACAAACCCACAACCATGCGTACTTTAAAAGAGGAGATTCAACGTTGCATCAACGAAATTTATTCAGAATAATCATGTAAAATTTCGACAAAAAAGTGCGCATGTGTATGAAAAGTCGTGTAGACCATTTGCCTGATGTGTTATTACGTAAATAACTCTATCCTATGTACTTTATGATTCAATCAAAAAATTACAATCAAAAGACTAAAAACTGTGTTTTCTATTTAATTCAAATCTTGCGTTAATTTTGGGACACCCTGTATTATCACAAAAAAAGTTATTCAAAGATATGTCAACCTGTTCTTAAATGAAGAAAATTATAAAAAAAAGTTCAAAAATATAAATGTGTGTGTTATGTTACTCGATTTCTTAAAGAACAAACTAATAATAAATTAGTAAAAACACCTATCTAATTTTCTTCGACATTCTGTTTTTTCTTCAGTAAGTTCGTAAGGAAAAATTCCTCCTAAGAAACAGAGTGTCAAAGAAATTTAGATAAGTGTTTTTATTAATTTATATATAAATGTATATAAATAATTGTATGTGTGCTGGTCCATAATTATTTATGATAATTTTTCACAGGTTGTACGCAAAGCAGTATATCAAGCAAGAGACGCCGGTGTTTTTGTAGTCTTCATCATCCTTGATAATCCAAACAATAAAGACTCTATTCTTGATATCAAGATTCCTATTTTTCCATCAGGTGGTGGACTCCCTCAAATAAAAGCATACATGGAAGAATTTCCTTTTCCATTTTACGTTATTTTAAGAGAAATTAATTCTCTCCCTTCTGTTCTTGGAGAAGCCTTAAGACAATGGTTTGAATTAGTTGCGCAAACAAATTAAATTAACTTTTTTTAATATTATATTATATTTTATTACACGCTAATGTAGTTTTTATCTTAAAAATGAGTATTTGAGTGTGTTACAAAAAGTCCAAGTCTGCCGTTACAAGTAATTTCTAAACCTCCGGACTTATACAATATTTAAAGACCTAAATTAAGGTGATTGTAAATATTAAGTTTTTCATCTCTTTAAATAGCACTTTATATATAATATATTTTTATTTTATATAATATATTTTTACTTTATATATATTTTTTATTAATTTATTCAATCTCAATTATTTTTAAAATAAATTTAAAAAATAATAATTCTTCCCCCGTATGGGGTCGTCCATAAAGTACGTTCGCTCATAGGGGGAGGTCTTCAAACAGCGTACGAAAGCGTAGCGGGGGGGGGGGGTCAATTTAAAAGTACGTACATCGATTTTCCAATTTATCACAATTAACCAGCTAATCAATAGAAAAGTTAAAATTCTGACTAAAGATCCTAGTTTGCCAACATAAAAAGATGTTTGGTATAGGGAGTAGAGGGTATAGTTTCCCACACATGGCATGGGGTCCGCAGGATTTTTTGATGTTCCAGATAGGACTCTTTCACAAATTGTGCGAACTCCAAACTTAAGTATGATTATGCATACGCCAAATGAGGAAACTTTGCAAAAAGTTAAGAAGGCGGAGGCCTGGAAGCAAAAAAGCCCTAAAATGTCCCCCTCCCCCCCCCCTCCTCCTCCAAAAAAAAAAAAAATAAGAGGGTGTAAATTTTGTATGGCTTTTGTAATTTACAATATTTTTCTACGAAATTTAAAATCTGTCGATAAATCTAGTTTTAGATAGTAAAGTTAAAATTTTACTACATTAGTGCCCTCACACTTGGGTAGGGGTAAGCGTTTTAGGACTATTTTGTTCCCAGGCCTCCGCCATTCCAATTTTTGCAAGGCCTCCTCATTTGATATAATTATACTTAAGTTTTAAAACTTGCACAAATTTCACATATTTCGCATAGGCATACTTTTGTTTGGAGCTTGTGCAAGCTGTAAACATGAGTGTGTGAAAGTGTCCTATATAGAACATCAAAAAAGCCTACGGGTATCCATGCACACATGGCACCTCTTATATACTGGCCCTGAGTAAGGCGTATTTCAGACAACCTATTTTTGGAGTCGACAAAAAACAGGTTTTAGCAGTGCCGTGGCTATTGGGTCGGAGGGACCCCCCCCCCCCCCAAAAAAAAAAAATAAAATAATAATAATAATAAATAAATAAACGTGTCATGTGGATCTCAAAATCGCTCAAATTTTACCGCTAAGTTTGCTAAAATAAAAAGTTCCTTAAATTAGCAAAAGGACACAACATTTTCTTTTTTAAAACAAAAAAAGGTACAGCATGACTCGACCGGGGCTTGAACACCAGTCTCCGTTGCCGTAGACCACAGCATTTACCGCTCGGCCAAGAGAATACATTATTAACATGTAATTTAACTTTATAAAAATTCATATTTGCATATATATTTTAAGAGATTTTTTAAATTGTGATCCTGTGCCGCAAACAAAGAGCTTTTGGGTCGTATAAAGTATCTTAAAGTATCTATAAGGTGCCTCCTCCACCTTTTTTTTTCCATAAACTTTTTCATTGAAAAAAAAAAGTTTGGGGAGGGTATTTCAATATCGTACGTACTTTTTAAAGGAGGGGGGGGGGGGGTTGTATGTTTTATAGAATACAAAAACATATTTGACATCATGAGAAGCTAAAAAAGTCTTTCTATTTTACTACACACTACTTTGAGTCTTAGGTATTAACCTGTTTTCTAATTTTTACCGTATTTTAATATTTCAATATTTGAAATATTAAAATACGGAAATATAAAAATAATAATTTCAATATTTGAAATATTAAAATACGGTAAAAATTAGAAAACAGGTTAATACCTAAGACTCAAAGTAGTGTGTAGTAAAATAGAAAGACTATTTTAGCTTCTCATGATGTCAAATATGTTTTTGTATTCTATAAAACAGAGCAGTAAAAAAATTAGTAAAAAAACACCTAAAGTAAAGTAGTTTAATGACGCAACTCTTGCACAGTAGTTTAAATGGTGAACATGAGTAAAATATTTAATGTTTTCAAATTAAAATTTAACTTTATTTTTGTATACTTAAATAGCATGCAGATCTAATTTACAAAAAAATTCAAATTTTTGTCTATTTAAGAAGTTACAGCAACCCAAAGTTGAATTTTGAAGCAAGTTACTCAAAGTTGAATATTTTGGATGAAAAAAAACACTTTAAAATGGTAAGCTAAAAATGAGACTTTTTGCAATCCCGGCCCCGGCAAAATTATAAGATTTAGCAGGGGTTGATATCTGGGGTTCGAAAAAAAATTGTAATTCTTTTTGTATAACAATTTTATACTTACGTTTACTTTTTTTTTTTTTTAATATATATTTGCTGTTTATATAATAAGAAGTATAACTACAAAGAAACGTTTACATACAAAAAAAGTGAATTTATAAAAAACAGTATTTATTATATACTATTATTTACTATATATTTTTCCTTTTTTAAACTCGAATTCATTTCCAACAAGATTACAAGCAACCACTATTACTTTGAAATAGAGGATAGGTTAAAATACTAGAAAATGGTTAACTGAAGACTTTAAAAAATGTAGAAGGTATTAAAAAGGAAAACATGAAGATGGAGAAGAGTTATAAGGCTTTTTTAATCTGCAAGGAAAAAAACTGGATTAATAAAAGTTTTGATAACATGAAGGGACAGATACAGTAAAAGGATGCAACTAGTTGAATAAGAAGCCAAACAAGGATGAGTTTTGGTTCATCGTAATAGAAATGATAGCTCGTTTGAGCATTGACCATGATAGTATTTGTAGAAAGAAAAAAAAGAAATATAACCTTACAACAATGGGAGAGTGGTTCAAGCATGGCAGATAAAGCAGATCTAACTACATTTACGATGTGCTTTGTCTGAGAGTAAGAGGGTTGTTATTTGTCAATATAGGAATGCCAACAATATTGCAATAGTTTTTTGCAGTAAATAAATGAGTTTTGTTGCCTTAAAAAAATTGTGGATTTTAAGTCCAGAATTTAAATCAATAAACCATTGCAAGCCTTAGGCTGTTACAGAAGAAAGATTAGATTAAAAACCGACTGCTTATTCTGAGCAATCAAAAAGTGAAAATTTTTTCTCAAGACAAGAGTATAAAGTTGAAGTGTCAGTAAATAGAGACACTTTAGATGTAAAATTTTTATGGAGATTTTTATTGTAGGTAAGAAACTCTACAGGAGCAAAGATTTTCGTTATTTCAAAGAACTTTGCGGTACCCTTAAAGTTACTTGAAATAACGAGGATCTTGTAGGCTTTCAAGAATAACTTTAATACTGCAATTTAGAAAGAAATATTTAATAATCTCAAAAACTTTATATTAAGAAACTAATAACAGAGTGAAACTAATTGTAGGATATTTGGAGAGGGTAAAGTGTTTTCTAGAGTTTTGAAAAATTGGAACCACTTATTTAGCACGTTTTAAAAGTTTAGCAAAAATGTAAGAGAATTCTGGCCAAAAAGTTATCAGCTGATGCACTTCTGCGCATACATGAGCGTTTAGAATGGTCTCTAACTGTTTTTGCAAAACAGCTGCTCTTTGCTCCGTTCTTTTGCAAATAATGGGTCAGACCCTACCCAAGTTCTTTTAAAGCAATCTTTTATACTGACCAATTGATTAGTTTTTCTTGATAGTTTTTCCCTGAAGTATCTAAGACGCTTATTATTAGCTTTCATTCCTTCTTCACTCAAAAATTTCAAATCGGTGGAATCATTTGATTTTATCAACTTTCAGTTATAAGCAAGAATTTTGTGCAGCGTTGGAGTTATACTTACCTAATAAAGATCTTGTTGAAGCAAGATATTTAGCTCCTGACATTTGTTTGTATAACTTAACAATAATAATTTTGCCAGATGACATTGTTCTCAGAAGTTTCGAAGAGATTTTAAAGGGACGGGTGACGTATTTGTTTTTTGCCGACTTGAGTCAAAAAAAATATTTTGTCATCGTTAACCGATATTAGTCGACTGCCAACTATTCCAATTTTGCCGACAAAACTAGTTAAACCATGAAATATAAATATAAAAATTAATAGTTTGACACAAAATTTCATTTTATGTAAAAACTTTTAAATCAAACCTTCACAATTGTATCTTTTATAAAATCATACAATAACTAATAAATGCTAGGACATATACTAAAATTTATAGTGTCTCATTGTACTATAATTTTTAGTGTCCGAGTATACTCGAACACAAAAAATTATAATGCAAAAAAATTAATAAATTCTACAAAAACTAATAAATATATTTATTAGTTTTTGAAGAATTTAAAAATATAATTTTAGTGGATAAAACCTGACAATTTGACTTGAAAATTACCTAATATAATTATCTTAAAATATTTAATATTAGTTATCTATTACCTAATATAATTATCCTAAAATATTTTCACAGCTGGATCTTTATACGGTCCTTTTTGGTGTCCTACAGTTATAAATGGTTTTTTCATTCATGAAGCGTAAAAAAATATTTCAAAAACATATTGCAAACGTGTAATTATTTTAGAAAAGGTAACAACTTTCCTTTTTTATGTCTTTTTTGTATATTTTTCAGCGTGTTTTTTTTTTTTTTTTTTGTGTGAGTGTGTCCTTGATATATTTTATGGTCTTGCGAATACTTTTTAACGGAAAAATCTTATCTAACTGATGTAAAAACATGTATTATGAGTTATATAAGAATCCTCAAATATTTTTATCTGAATGCTTTAAAGTACCTTTTTGGTGTCCTAGAGTTATTGTGCAATCATGGTAATGAACATGGAAGTATTTTAATAGGTAAATTTTGAATGAATACCTTAATTTTTTAGGGTGTTTTGCAGTGTCTTATATTGATGTCCTAGAGTCATGGTATGCCCTCAGGAGTATTGTTTAATGATTGAGCTTCAAAAATTAAGCTAAAAACATATACCATAGCCATGTTTTATTTTA